CATTGGCTTAAGTAGAGCATGGAAGTCGACATATTATAATGTTATGGATCATATTTCAACCATCCCATCTTTGCTCATTTAAAGACAATTTTACATGTTTGAATGAACATTAAATATCAACCTCTGAAATGATATATCTGCAAGAATATAGAGATAACCCTACAATCAAGTTTGTGGCTATAGAACATAGAGGTCTTTACACTACAGAGTAAAGATTGTCATTTGCTCAATCAAGCAATTGATGATTCTAGTTAATCAAATAATCAACTAATACGAACCACTAAAAAAAGTTTCATTCTCTTAGTAATTAGATTATACTGATCATAGATGATAATACAACATGTTGCTGCCATGCTGTAGTGATACATCAGTGTGTAAATAAATATAGCACTGCTCAGATATATGTCTACTTCCAAAAGCAACAAGGCTTTCAAAAAGAACAACAGGCACTTGCTCAATTTATGTAGCTTCAGAATTAAAGTCAATTTTGAGCTAACTGAGAGTTATGGTTTTAAAGAGATGCTAGCTCCAGTTCAAAAAACAAAAGAGATATCGGCTCTTATCAACAACATGTAGCCAGAAATACTCCAGCAAGTAAAAAATGAGAAACCAATACTGAAATAACTACAAAAACAGCATGTGCAGCACTGTGATCATACCTGAATTAAAAGGAAGACAGCAAAACATTAAAATGACTAGATACATAAAATATTTGGCAGTTCAGAGAAAAGGCAAAGTAAAAGAATTGCAAAATATAAATACGATATTTGGGCTATGATATTAGTGCATGGAAGAACTTAGCGCTCTCGTGATGTTATGACTAAAAATTACCCAAGACTTTTATAAAAGCAACATAAGAAATTCTTAGAACAAAGATACCATATCAAAAGCATGCCAATTTGAGATGAATAAGATTTGAATTTAAGACTATTTCCAAATCCAACCGATGCCCCATCAATGTAAAGGCAAGGACCACTTTTAAAGAATCACTACTTAGTAATTTATTTTTGCTACATGCAACCATGCTTAAGCAAAAATAAACTTACGTAGCACAATAAGCTACTGTTGCAACTGCCAAAAGAAGGATACAGATTGCAACAAAAGCAGGGTCGTCACTTGCCCACTGATTCTTGGTTTCTGAACCAAAAGACAAATAAACAACTTTTTGAGCTCATGAGATAATGGAAAGAATTTAATAATTTCACACCTTTAATGAGTTCGTGGACATGAAACTTATAACCTAAAAGGGAAAGGGAAAAAAATTATTTTTACCCATTAATTTTAAAGCTATATGAATTACCAAGTGCCAAAACTCCTACTGACTTAACCATGCTTTCTATGTGCTGATATTTTTTTTTTTTGGGGGGGGGGGGGGGGGGGGTGGGGAGGGGAGAGGAGGTGGGGGGAAAGAGGGCAGGAAAAGGCACGGGAAAGTGACCTAAAAGCTCAAAGCACTTCCCAACTGCATTAACATTCAGTTAACCACTTGACAGAGTAGAAGTCAGTTGAAACATGTAGTGAATACAATATATTGTAGCACCTATAGCCGTATAGGCCAAAGGATGATGGCAGTGATCATGAAATAGAAAATACAATGTGCACAGATATTTACATTATTGAGAGCTAATTATCAGCAGTACAAGCATTAACCACTTGATAGAGCTACAAGTCTCAAAACACAACTATTTTTGCAATCAGTATACCTCTAGGAACAAAAGCAGCATGATTAACAATATTGCTCCTCCAACTTGACATAAACAGATAAAAATAAACAAAGCACATATTAAACTGAAATGAACTTACGCTTGTGATACTTTGTGTGCCGATATCTGCATCCACCGTTAGAAATCATATGCACGATAAAACAAAAATAATTAGAAAAGCACATTTCCACATTTGAAAGATTTTTTCCTGAGATAATCCCTGTCACTCCCTCCTCTAATAAAGCCCCAAAAAACACACTTAATAGGTATGAACACAACCAAGCAATAGCAAGGTTCCGGTATTGGATACAAAAGTAAGCAATATGACACAATCCTATGATCTAGATCCAAACAAAAAACGTACTCAACATTCAACACTAACAATTTCTGGAGCAAAAATTAATAAATGGTAAATCCTCAAAAGCCTTCTGATATAAAGTGGATTACTAGATGAAAATTTATTTCTAGAATCTCTGAAACCATATATAAGGGAAGCAATTAGAATTTAAAATCAGTCAGCAAAAATGGTGTGTTAATATAGGTATTTTTCTTCTATGCTGGAATTATATGTATCTAGCAATCGTAACCAGTTGATGATGATATTATAGGATGATAAGAAACAAGTGGATTGATGATGATGGGTGGATACTCACACGACCTTTGGTGCAGTATATAGGTGAAGCATTTGCCAGAATGTATATTCAATATCCATTTGTTGCCACTACAAGAACAGACAAAAGGAATAAGGAACGTGATGAGATAAAGCAACTATATACAGCAAAGATGCTGCTGAGACGACATAATGGTAATGACCCCATACATCCTAAGCCAAGTTAACTTTATGCTTTGTTTCATTGGATGTTCAACATCAATGGCTGCTAAATTTTAACATAATACTTAGAATATAGAAAATTGAAAAGTTTCACATAATATGACTGGGGCAATGGAAAATCACCTGCTTACACGCATCTATACCAGATGCATACATCCAAATCTACGTGAAATGAATAAGAATATATTAAAAGGATAAGTAAGAATTCACATGAGACTTAAAATCATTAAGACGTTTAAACTGCTCAAAACTTAGAAAAACAATACCGCTTGCGCTCAAATTTAGCTTGGCCAAGACATCACCAAAGTCAAAAGTCAATTTATTCATTTGATTAGAAAATTAATACTGAACTATTAGAGATTCGAGGATAAACGATCTGGGCTATTTTTAGTTTGACATATCTCCTGGAGGAAACTCCTAGTCTCAAATGGATCCAAAGTATTATTATAAAAAAAATTTACTTAATTCTCTCCTCCTTACTTCTCCCCTATTGCAATTAGAATTGAATTTTGGATTTCACATTAATCACTTCTCTCTTATCATTTCCGACGCTTAAGTCTGCTCCTTGATGCCAGACATCACCGGCAACTAAACCCTAAATTGAAAAAATAATAATATATTAAAAGGTAATTGGAAATTCTATCAAGCACTAGAGCAAAGAGAAATCAGGAACTGACAACAAAAATGGATAAAAGAAGCAACACAGACAAGTTCAATTCCTAATTGGATCATGATTCGAGCTATAGATAGAAATTAGATGAAAATGAAGATCAGATCCATCGAGAGAGAGAGAGAGAGAGGAGATTGGACCTTGACAATTCGACGGAGGTACTGAGGGAAAATGGTGTTAGGTCGAAGCGTGGAGGACGGCGAATGCGTTTTGCTAACTATAGGTAACATCTTTTTTCTTTCTTCTTTCTGCTTCTTGTTATTGTTCGATTTACTTCGTTGGTTGAGTATCTATCGGGATCATTTTTTTTTTTACGTACAGTTCTGAGTCCGTCTCACTTGAGACGAGAAGGCGAAAAAGTAAAAACGACAATGCCTCTCTCCGTCTCCGGCTCGCTCTCGCTTCTGACGAGGCACCGGCCTGCCACCGCACTGCCAAATTGCTTATACGTTAACATGGACTGTTTTTGGGCTTCAGATCTATTAAGCTCAGGGAAACCAAACTCATTTTCCTTCGGGTTGGATGACTTCGACTTGGGATTTGACTTATGAGCCCACGGGCTTCAGGAACAAATCCATGAATTATATATTCATAGGATAATTAGTGATGACAATGGTCGGATTGGTTTTTCTCACTTTGATTTCGATATGATTTCATAATATATATATATATATATATATTTGATTTTGACTCTTTTTTATATTAAAATATTATTTTTATATTCAATTTGACTTAACTCGTATATGTATAAATTTATAATAGATTAGATCTGAAATTAATTTAATAATTCTAATTTTATTTAATATTCATAAAATATTATTTTTAAGATAAATTATATCTTAATTATACATATATAATATTTTTATTAAATTAATATCTTAAATTAAAATGTTATTAATATAATACATATATATAAATATAAAATTAAATAAATAATAAAAAATAATATATATATTGAATCGGAATGAATTTGCTTAAAATCCAATTTTGACTCCGATTTTTTTTTTAATTCCACCTGAAATCTAATTGAAAAAAATAATTCTATAAATTTGAATTGGGTCTAAACCAACGAGTTCCCATCCTTAAAGATAACATGGGAAAGGCCTATATGGGATTTTTCGTTATGAACAAGTAAACAAACCGGTGATTAAAAGTTTCAATCTTTTAGATATATTTTTTGTTTGCTAATTTGAATTTTGATATACATTTTAATTGTGGAAAAAAATTTTATTTACTTGGTTTCTTATATCTACATGTTTAGATGAGTAGTTTTGTTTAAGTTGGTTCCCTTGCTAACAGAATATCCTATTTCCATTTATAAATGTCATGTAGTCACTGGTTACATATAAAATAACACTTAAATAAAATTGTTTTGATGTTGATGTGATTTATTATTTAAGTGTTGAATTTTTTTATTTTCATGACTAAATTCAATCCCTAACGCACTTAAATATAAAATAAATTAATTATCAATTTGATTCAAATCAAGTCAAAACTAAGGCTTGAACCATTCTTCATAGGCTTATTTTTAATTTGAGAAGAAATTCAAATCCTTTTTTTTTTTGTTGGAATAAATAGATCGTATATCAATCAATTAAATCAAATATTTAAATGTAAAACCAAACTTTTCATTTAAGTTAGGTTTGATTTCATTACACTTCCAATGTGATGTGATTGAATTTATTGTATCATCATTTGAATTTAAATGTTAATTTTAATGTGTTCTATTCAATATAAAATTTTCATTAATTTTTTTTTTCAATCATAACTATAATAATTTTTTTTCAATTGTAGCTATAATAATTTTTGTTTTTAATTTCATCAGAATTAATATCATTACAATGAAACTATAAAAAGAAAACAAGTAAAGAAAGAAAGAAATAGAAGTTTTAACCCATAAAAACAGTAAAAATGTTCAGAAATGCCATTGAATAAATTTTTTTTTTTTACTTTGTCGGCCTGTAAATTTAAAGCTAATTCATCTGACAAAATTAATCAAAATTCCTAATTTTGCTTTTTTTTTTTCGTTTATTTCTGTACATCCTCGAAATTATTGTACTGAAGAAACAAAGGAATTTTGTTTTTCTATCGTTCTTGATTTCTTTATGGTTCTCTTTAATTTGCTAACTTTATCAAATCCTACGAGGCTAAGATCTTTTATCGCTCGATCTTAATCAAACTTTTAATAATCACTAGTTTCAAATTATCCCCTCATCCAATCCTCTTAATCCCAGCATTCCTCGTACTTTCACTCAGGAAACCAAACTCTGCCATGTAATCCCTCACTTCTTTCCTAATTATCTCTTGAATCGCAGCCAAAAGGTCCGGTCCAAGCGTCGTCATCTTTCTCCCACTCTCTTGCTTTTCTGCTAACGACTCATTCTTCCCGGGCGAGCTGTTGTTATTGAACTCGATAGACTCGTTCCACGAACGTCCAAGAGTAAGCTTAGTTGAAACGCCAGAGTGTTGTGTCGACTCAGCAACGCTCAATCCTAAATCGCTGACGTCAGAACCCGAAGGACTCCCAGTGTTATTACTAGTCGCTGTTCTTGGGGATTTTGCTGATCTTTTCTCTGATTCCTGAAGAGAATCTCCATCTTCCATCGAGAGTTTTCGCTTTAAGGTTGAGTGCCAATGGTTTTTAATGGCGTTGTCCGTACGGCCGTTAAGGAGCCTCGCGATGGTAGCCCACTTGTTGCCGTACTTGGCGTGGGCTTTCAAGATGATCCCGTCTTCCTCCGGCGTGAAGGGGCGGCGCTCGACTTCCGGTGACAGCTGGTTGCACCACCGGAGCCTGCATGACTTCCCCGATCGACCAGGGATCAACCTCGATATCAAGGACCAGTTTCTAGCACCGTGATGCTCCACCAGCTTGCGCAACAACTCATCCTCCTCGGGACTCCATGGTCCTTTGACTCGATCAAAGTCTTGATCCATTGGTTTGCTAGTAACAGTCTCGAAATCCCAACGGAGATTTTAGTTTGTTTTTGAGAAGCGTTGGAGAGAAATAGAGAAGAAGGCCTGTTGGGTGGAGCCTTGGAGGCTTGTACTTGTGATATGCAAGAGAGGAATAAGAAGGATTTATATAGGGGATGGTTAGGGTAACTGATAGAGCCGGTTAACCAATACAGGTAATAAGCGTTAAGTGAACTGGTTTTGACCAGTAACCGATTGAATGGTGATACAGCTTGTATAACGTTTGCGGGCGGCCACGTAGGCAAAGACTGAATTGGAAGTTCCTTGGGGATAGTATAGGAATTTCAATATGGTACTTTCCTGATTTGACTCATACAGTTATGGAAGTTCCTGAAATGGAAAGAGCTGAGTAGCCGAGTAGGTTCTGGAGTGTGAGAAAATCGCGAGAATTCAAGGAGAAATTGGGAAGAGGATAAGTTTGACTCAGCCAGCCTGGAAGCCATTACGTGGGGACCAATGTTTATTCCAATTGGTTTTGTCGTTTTGTTTCGTTTTGCGTGTGAAATGACTGCCGACGTGGACAAAACGACAAGAGTTGTTTGAGAGATTGATTGACAACTTGTCAGTCCAGCCTGTATATTTGTTTCGGAGATGACATGTTAACGGCTTTCTTCCCACCGACACGAGGCGGTAACCATCGAACCTCCAGACCCAAACGAACTTCATTTCGTAACACATTTTCCTACCGGTTCCGTTGTTTCCTTAAATTGATGCGGAGTTTAGTAGTTTAAAATTTAAAATTGTTTTCATAAATCAATAGAAAGAAGTAGATTTAATAATTTTAGATATGATATAATAATATAATATTAAAATGATACATAAATATATTATAATTTTATTTTATATTTTAATAATATCAATACGTTTAAAATATGATATTACACTTGTCATGTTTTATATTTTATTCATGTTATACATTTAAAATATAATTAATTAATTAATCATATTATTATGTTAACACGTACAAATGATATGTTTATAACAAGTACATAATTATATTTTAATATTTTATTATATTATTATTTTAATTTAATGTTGAATTATTAATTAAATATTTTAATATTAATAATATTAAATTTATTAATTATGTATAATTATGTTAATCATATTATATTATGTTATTTATTTTTAAAATGAATTAAAACGTATTAATTATATCATATTATATATAATAAGTATTATAAAAATATTATATTTATATTTTAATTATTTATGTCATTTAAATATTTATATAATATTTATGATAAAATCATTTATATTACATTTGAAATCATATTTAATATAAAATATAACACGTTACAAATTATCAAAAAAAAAAAGGAAGGACAAGCAGCAAAGGTCAAACACAGGATGTTTTTTCTTTTTCTGGTGGTACCTACCACAAGTCTACAACCTAATAGTTGCCTATTTTCGTCTTGGGTACGATGGACACTTTGAATTCTTTCCCACTAGGTCAACGTTATAAATTTAAGAAAAATCAAGGACTTGTTTGGAAAAACAAAAACGTGTCTGTTTTTAATTAACAAATTAATCTAAACGTTGGATTTGTTGGTGTGCTCTTTCCTGTTGCCGCCGCTTTCATTGTTCAATGATCACTTTACTTGGGCGAAAAGAATAAATAAATAAATGAATAATTTCGTTGCGGCTTAGGTGGATTCATATGAGTCAAAATTGTGGCACAACTTTGAAACCTGTGAACTGTAAAACCCCACGCAACTAAACTTCCAATAATTAACATTAGCTTGAGGTTATCCAACACTCAGGTCCCTTTCTTCGCGTGGTAAGAGGGAGAGATTTTATATATATAAATAATTCGATTTAAATTTTGATAAAAATTATATGAATTTAAAAAATAAAAAATATATTTTATATTTAATGTGTTAATATAAATGATAATATAATTTTAATATTTATATGTATTTAATATAAAATAAATATGAATTATATTTTATGATTAAATTTTTTTAAAATTCGATAAATAAAAATAACCTACACAAGTGATAGGAATTCTCCCACCATACAATCAAAATGAATTCCAATTCGAAGATGCTGATCAATTAGCAATGACATGTTTGGAGTCCGTATAATCCATCTTGACAACTTTGAAATTTGATGGTACAATCCAACTTTTAAAAACTAAATATATTGATAAAATGAAATATAAATAAATAAAGACTTGATGCTTTTTAATTTATGAGTGATTTTGATGCCAACGTATCCCTAGTTGAGTTTCGTTTAGTATAAAATGTTGTATCGAACGTACTGATGCAATGTTTGGATAACATCGTAGAGGTACGGTAGCCTCCAATTATCCACCGGAAATGAAAGCTCCGGTTAAAATTGTTACATTTTGACTGCACATTTTATCTCAATTTTGTCTACAAATTTTTTATTTCTTTCTTTTTTTACTTTTAAAGTTGTAAAGATTTTCATATGATTTAATATATCATTATTTTTATTTTTTCATTTTTTTCATTTTGATTTTTTATTTTAAAATTTTAAAACATTTTAATTAATTTAACATAATAACTAAATTTTATTATACAATAAATAAATAGTATAAAAATATTAAAAAATATATACAAATAATTTATCAATATACTTTTAGAGTAAAGTCCTTAATAGTCATTTTTTATTCTCACCTCACCTCACTGCTACCACTATTTTATTATTTAAATATATATTTCACCATTAATATTAATCTTATTGTTATAGTAACCAATCTCACTAATATAGTAATTAATATTACCGTCATCGTTATTTTAAATTTCACCGAAATTAATCTCATTATCTATCAAAATATATTCTTGGTTATGTTACAAGATATACTGTACCAATGCACAAGTAAATTTTTTTTTTTTAACAAATATTGGACTTGATGGCTGAAAGTATCGTGAAATAATGCTTAACGGTGTATTATAATTTTTTTTGTTGCATTTAGGTAATATTTAGTATCATTTTCAAAATTATTATTGTAATGTAATCACTGATGTGATTTTATTACCAATGTAATCTTATCACTCGTAATTTGAAATTACTTTATTTAGTTAACTCTTATTAATTCATACAAATTAAATATCACTATGTTTGATATTATTAAAATCAAATATTATTTTATTTAAAAGTACGAAAATAACAAATTTTATTGTAATAATTATGCAAGTTAATAATTTAAATGTTGTTTAAATATAATAATTCATAAAACATAGTAATATTTTATTTATTTTATAATAAATATATTTATTTATTACATAAACCAATTTTTATAATATAAGTTATGTAAAAACATTTGAATTAGAAAATGAAATGAATGTATTAAATCATAATAAAAAAGAAAAACATTATATTATATATAAAACATTAGAAAAAATAAAAAATACATAAATTATTTTTGAACTTGTTATGATGAATTTTAGTTTGAAAATATAAAATTTATAATATAAAATAATTATAATTTTAAATTTATAATATAAAACAATTATAATTATAATTTATAATATAAAATAATCACTTTACATATTATTAATATGTGAATAAAAAAAAACTAAAATTATTATTTCACATATTAAATTGATAATATTGACTATTATTAATTTTATAAATCACTTTATGTGACAAAAGTTTTTTACTTTTTTTATATAAATTAAATCACCTTTTAAGATAGTATTTTGATAATTCTCAATTATCAAAAATCACTTCCACATAAGACCACAAAGTATTTATCAAACATGGTGATTAGATCATCATGTACAAATCATTGTAATTTTAAAAATAATCACTCCATGCTTAATACTATTTTGATGTATATTGTTATATTATAAATATTGTATCTGAGATAGTAGTTATGTATTTACAATTTCCTTATAAAGTGAAAATCCAACAATCATTTTTTTTTTCAAAAAACAATCATACTTAGATACATTGAGATATAGTTGACATATATATGTTTTCTTTTTTTTAGTTAAAATATACAAATTAGGAATAAAATTTTGAATTTAACTTTATTATTAGTGTATCTTGACGTGTACTGGACATAATAATCATAATAAAATAAATACGATATACGATAAATTATACATAATAATCATAATAAAATAAACACGATATACGATAAATTATGAATTAAGTAAAATCTCGTAAATAAAAACTCGTAAGAGGATTTTTTAAAGTCTCAAGAAATGTATTTAATTAGATGCTATAATTATTATTTTGTTAAAATAAAATAAATTTAATTTAAAATTAGAAAAAAAGTAATTGTTGAAATTAAATGTTAAATGCATTATACATTATTACATGAATTTATTGAATTAAATTTAAACAAAATTTAAACAAAATTTACTTTAAACACTCATTTGCAATACCCAAAACCAACAAATTTTTTTTTTTAAATACATAAAAATTCATGGAATGGACCTATTAATCTAGCAACAAAATTTGTTCTCAAAGATAGCATAGACAAGATAAAGAATAATAGAGGATGTTCCCTACCAACTTTAACTTTTTTTTTTTAAACAAATAAAAAGATGAATATTGCTTTTTCCCAAGGCACTGCACATGCAGCGGAGAATTACACTTGGCATTCCACAATAATCATTTTCTGGAAAAGAGTCTTATCAACTTTATCTTTAGTTTTTTTGGTTAAAATCATTTGTAAACATATATGAAAATTTGTTAAAATATCTTTTATTTAATATATTAACCATATATGTAATATATAATATGATAGATAGGATACAATACTAATTAGTTTATATTATATTTGTTCTCTATATAAAAAAAGATAAAATTATAAAAAAAATTAATTATTCTCTTGATATAAAATAATTCAATCATCTTAAAATAAAAAAATTATTTTTAATTTATAAAATTAAATTTATATTCCTATTATATTTTTTAAAATTATATTAATAATTTAAATAGTATAAATTTAAAAAATTTTGATTAATAAATAAATTATCTTGTCATAATTTTTACATATATCTAACATAAAATATGATAATATTATTTAATTAATTCTATTCATAATATCATATTATTATATCTTATTATAATTTTATATACCAAACACATCATAAAAATAAATAAATAATATATGACTTATAAAACCGTCTTAATAAGTGTCAATAAATAAACTAGTGCTTCTTAAAAATTCATTGATTTTTATTTTAATAAATTCATTCCGTCCGATTTGACTCTCGTAAATATTTAAAAAAATTTAGAGTATTAATGCATTTATTGGCATTGATGTAATGTTATAAATTTAAATTTTTTATGGCATTAATGTATTGTTTTTTTTTTTTTTGGTTAAAAGTTAAAAAGTTTTGAAAAATAAATTTTAATCATAGAAAAGAATAAGAGTATAAATGATACTAAAAAATAAAAAAAATAGCTTTATTTTTTGTTACCCAAAAAAAAAGAAACAAAAAGAATATAACTATAAAAGTTAGAATATGTCTTAAGGCCTTTAGTTAAGTGATTAAAAGCGCTTGAAAATATATCAAAATCTTGATTTCGAACTAATTTTTTTTTATTTGTATTAGAAATTTATCTTTTTAATTAAAAAAAAGTGAAATAGGGGAAAAACAAATAACAATATAATAATAAAAATAATAATACACGTGATAGCGAAGGATCAAAGGATGCTTCCTATTTGAGTGATTGATATGATGTATGCTAGAGATTGATAATTAAATTAAGCGAACAATATATAATATTATAATATAAAATTTTATGAAATTAAAATTACTTTTCCATGTGCTACACATGTCTCTGTATTAATTAAATCTAAAAAGAGACACTTTTCAATATGCTTAGCTCTTGAACTTAAATAAATAAATAAACAAAGAGGGATTCTTTATTTTATTAATGTATTTGCAGGAAAGTTTAGCCGCCAAAGGCATGAAAATTTTGATGATTGTCAAATGGGTTTTTGGATTTCATGATGTAATTAAATTTATTATATCACCATTTAAATTTAAATATTAATTTTTATAAAATTTATTTAATATAAATTTTCTTATCAATCACAATAATAGATTTTTTTTAATCATAACTACAATAACTTTTATTGATAATTTTAATTTCATTGAAACTAATTTACCAACCATCTAAATAAAACTTAAGTTAAGGAGTCAAAAAAATTAATAATATGTAAAATAATTATTAAAAATATTATTTATAATTTAAATTTAATCGATACTTATTTAACAGTAAAAATTTTGTTAATATATTTACTAAAAATATTTATTTAATAAATATATCAAAATTTATTAAAATTTTTAAAAAATTTATATGCTTTGATCTATGTGGTGAGATATTTCAAATTATTGGTTTTAATTTTGATTTTAAATTTTATTTGCTTATTTTTAATAAAAAATTTCACGAAATTTACCTATAAAACTTTATATAAGTTTTTTTTCCTACAAATAACATCTTAATATGTAATGTCACAATCTCACATTAGGATAATATGAGATTTTACTATGATATACATGTAAAGGCTTAAATATAATAAATTTTAGTTTAAACTTCTACATATATATCATAGTAGAATCTCAAATTATCTCAATGTAAAATTGGAGCGTCACAAACATTTTCGTTAAAACTTGACGTATTCGTCAAACCCAACACAAAACATATAGATCTATTGAATTGTACCAAATATTGAGCAAATCCAATACAAAAATTATAGATCCATTGAATCACACTAAACATTAGGTAAACTCAACACAAAGTATACACAAATCATATCATGTTGAAATTCTAGAAGTATTTACTCCGGTATAACACTTAGCTATCGCAAGATTTTAAAGGTGACTCTTTCGATGTAACACTTAACTTCAATTCGACTAATAACTGCTTTTAAATCATTTGTGAGATCTGCACTCAACTTGTGAGATATTATTTACTTTAACCATAAAATTTTATAATTTTATCTCATAAAAAACACTTCACATATTTGAAATTAAACATTTACATATTTATATCATAATAAATTTTTAAAATATTTCGATATATAATTGAGACGTTACATAATAAGTATCAATAAGTAAACAAGTATTTCTCAACAATTCATTGATTTTTATTTTGATATATTCATTCCGTCCCATTTGACTTTCATACATATTAAAAAAAAAAAAGTTTATGGAATTGATGTATTTAATATTATAAATTTAAATTTTTATGGTATTGATGTAATATTATAAATTTAAAATTTTTATGACATTGATGTACTGTAAATTTTATTGTCAAAAGCTAAAAAGTTTTGAAAAAATAAATTTTAAATAAAAAAAAAGAGAATAAAATATGTTCAAAAATGAAAACAGATAACTTTGTTTTGAGTTACCCAAACAAAGTTGGACAAAAAAAAAAAAAGAAACAAAAGGAATATTACTACGAATGTTAGAATCTTTGAATCTGAGTATGGATTAGGAACATGGTAAAGATTATGGGAGAAACAAATAACAATATAATAATAAAAACAATATTACACGTGACAGTGAAGGATCAAATGATCTTCCTATTTGACCAGTTGATATGATGTATGTTAGAGATTGATAATTAAATTAATCGGTCAATATATAATATTACGATATACATTTTATGAAATAAAAATGCTTTTCAAGGTGCTGCACGTGTCTCTGCATTAATTAAATCCGAAAGAGACACTTTTCGATATGCTTAGCTCTTTAACTTAAAAAAAAAAAAGAAATTACATATTTTATTAATGTATTTGCATAAAAGTTTAGTGGCAAAACCCATTAAAATTTTGATGATTGGTAAGTAGAAGTTTGAATTTCATCACATTTTTAATATAGTGTAATTGAATTTATCGTACATTAATTGAATCAAAATATTAATTTTAATAAAATTAATTTAATATAAATTTTTTTTATAAATTTTTAATTATAGTTATAAAAATTTTTTGATCACAATGATAATAATTTTTATTATAATTTTCAATTTTATCATTCATTCAAATAAAATATAAGTCACGAAGTCTAAGAATTTGCTTTTGAGCTATTATTTTTTCTTGATTAAAAAGGTAAAAAAGTAACTTTGCTTGACTTATTTGTTTATTTTTTAAAAAATAAAAACATATCACATAAAACAAATACTATAATAAAAATATATACATTTTGCTTTTCTTTTGTTATCGTTGACGTAATTTTTGGTCCAATATAAGTGGAGTTTGTAGGAAAATGTTTCAAACCATTAAAAAAAAAAAAACTTAGGAGATGTTGAGGTTGTATTTTAGAACGTGTTTTGATGGTTAAAATAGTCGAATTTTCTAAAAAAGATAAAAAGTAAAGGCAAAATAAAATAATAAAAAATCAAAGAGTAGGTAAAAGAGTGTTGTATTTTGTTAGATTCTTATTTTTATACTTGTTAAATGATGACGTGATTAGTCGAATGTGAGGTTATTTATTTTGAAGAGTATGTAATTATTTATTACGTCATAAATTGAGATGTAACACAAAAAATATATATTTTTTCCTTTTGTTTATTTTATTTATTTCTTAATAATTTTATTTTTTGAGTCAAGCTATTTATGTTTGGGTCCAAAAACTTAAAATCCATCAAATGACCCAAAAGAATAAGAGGCTGAACAAGGCGGTCCATTTGTAGCAGAGCCCGTTATTAAGGAAAACATCGAACCGACGTCGTAGTTATAAGCGTATGATTCAAACGGAAAAGAGGGAATCTCAAATCTGCCAAGAGCACCAAATTTCCAAAATCGTTGGGGTTTTGCCACGACAATGTCGATGGGCAGGCCAAATGATGGCGACACTCAGTTAGCGTTAGCGGAACAGAAATCGGCTCTCTCACCGCGACCTCCGTCGGCGGCATCGACGGCGATTGTAGAGTACGAGAAGCCGGTATTCAAGGAGGTCGAAGAGGAACTAGAGGTGAAGCTCCGCCGCGTTAGTAACACCTCCGGAAGTTCCGCTGGTTCTGTGTCCCGTGATTTCCACCAGGTATATTATTTTTCTAACTATCTATTGATCTTTTTTTTTTTTTTAATGTTTTGCCTTCTAAATCTTAACTGTTGCTTGCTCTGTTAGTAGATTGGCTGATGAAATTGATATTAGCATATGCGGAAATTTAGAGATTTTCGATCAGCTTGTGTTGGTTATCTTTAGGTTTTATGGAAAATTTGATTGTAGGATTGTTGATTAGGCATCAAATTTTATCAACCATGGCAGTAAATTTATGCTGCACTTAGTTCAGAGTTCTGAAAGTGTAATACGAGAGCTTCCTCTCAACAGAGGATGGTTAGCCAAGCTTTGAGAAGTTTCTCTGTCATAATTGTTGAAACTATTGTTCATGTTTCAGATTTCCCCAATAAATTTTTGCTTGAAGGTTTCTTCTAGCTTACCCTTTTTTTTCTGGCCAAATCTTCTAGCTTACCTGACACATCATCATTCTCAATTTATAATGGAATCTTATCTTTGTTTCTTTTAGATTGGTGCAGCATATGATGCCTTAAAGTATAAGCATTTTCTTCAGTTGGTATGAAGTTTTCTCTCAAAGTAAGTTTTCTTTCTGTTGGAACAGTATTGACAGATGAGATAGAAAGAGCGAGGCACGCTTGCGAGAATGGATCCTGACTACCAGGAAAGGAAGGAATTAGCTGAGTTTCTTTCTGTTGGAACAGTATTGACAGATGAGACGGAAAGAGCAAGACAGGCTTGCAAGAATGGATCCTGACTACCAGGAAGGGAAGGAACTAGCTTAGTTTCTTTCTGTTGGTACAGTATCGACTGATGAGACAGAAAGAGCAAGACAGGCTTGCAAGAATGGATGCTGATTACCAGAAAAGGAAGGAACTAGCTGAGTTTAACACAAGAAGGGAAGAAAGATTGAAAGCTGCTGAGAAGCGGACTGCAAATAAGTGCCTGAAACGCCAAAAGAAAAAGCAAAGGAAAAAGGAGAAGAAGATGAAATCGAGTGCTGAGGGAGAAGAAAATAAGAAGGAAGAGTCTTCGGATGATGAAGGAGACTCAGAAAATGATGAAGCAGCAACACAATGAACAAATTTTTACTTGATATTTATGCTCCGACCTTGGTCCTGTGAACTTGGCTCCAATTAGAAGGAACCAGACATACCAACAACGAGACATTGTGGTCTGGTTGTTCTTATGTATACTGAGTTGAGCTTGGTCTTCTTTGTGTGCATACTAGTGAGAAGTGAAGGTATGAAACCAGTGACAATCAGGAAGATTTCTGTTTCATGACCAAGATGCAAGCATTTTGGGCATTGTTTGGGTTGCGTTAATTTGGATTATTCAACCATTTAATTATTCTATGTTGAACTGATTGAATATACCACATAGTAAATATGGCTCCAATAAATGCATATTTAGTGATCAGTCACAGAAAAGGTTATGTAATGGCCAAATCAGAGAATTAGCATATATTAAGGATTTAATGATCCTCTAATGTTTCATCCCTCAAGCATGGTTTGCTGTCTAGATTCACCTTTTAGGGGAAGATATTGCTCTGTTACAATTTAAGGTTATAGTTGTTCATGTTGTTTAGGTTTATGCTTCATTTGGGGCTGTTCATGATTTACCTACCTGGATTTCTTCCTCCTATAATTGATTGCTAATTTATGCATAATGCCTGATCTTAAAATTGGTAGTTCGCTGCATGTGATTTCAATCCTGTTTTTCCTTGAAGCCCTATTTTAAAATGCATTCGTTTTACTAATGCTGAACTGGTTTCTTTAATTGGATGTTGTTCTATTAAGTCAATGAATGCATTTTAATCTCATTCAATTGGATCTGCTAAATGTACAAAATAGTTTCAAGCATCTAGATAACTCTGAGCTGGTTGAAGTTGTTTTGCAATGCTTACTCATTTCAAACCTGCAATATGTTCTTGGTTTGGCGCTCATGGACATACTGTCAAGAGGGCATCTTATTCGGAATTTTGGATTTTATGGAATCAAGTATGAACAAGGATTGATCAAAGAGATTTTAGCCTATTATACATGCAATAATTTGCTTTATACTGAACTAATGCTTGGCAAAACGGTTCATCATCCAAATATCAGAAGACATGCTTTCCAAAATATGAAAGTTTTAGATGTAGAATATATCATTCTGGTCTTAAAAATTATCCATGTTATGTATTGAATTTGGGATGTGGACCCTATATGATAAAACAGTAATGTCACCTTGAGCAAACTTAGCCAAAAAGTCAGTTTACCCATTTGGAAAACCTATCCAAGGGAGCTTTGATCAAACCATGACTTGCTGATAGCAAACAATCAGCCTCTGACAGGTCCTGTTTTGAGGGCTGAGTAGAGATTATAAACTTAATGTGACTAGTAACATTTAACCAGGAGCTAGTCTGTGGTCATAATTTGGTAAGTTCTGAATTGACTCTTCAGTCCAATGATTCTTAGCATACGTTGCTTCTATGATTCGGGTGCAGTGTGCACGAAGTGAGAATCATGTACTTTCATTGTTTCAAAATTGAATAATTTAAACAGGAAGTCATCTAGGCTTATAATGTTTCATGTTTTGCCAGAAAAGGTAGTCAAGTTTTGAGACCTTTGATGTGATAAACATCGACACAGATTAAACTAGTTGTTTTGGTTGCGGCATTTGTAAGAAAAAATGTTAAATTGTTAAAGCCAATTGTCTTGTTTGGATTCACTTGTTGCCTCTGTATCTCTCTCACTAAAGCATATGTACTTAATTTTATACAGGGTGATCAGGTGGTTAAGTGTGACCAGGGGCATAGGATTGGTTTTTCAAGATGTGAAGCTTTTGATATCTTTTTGCTTGGAGATGTAGAATTCTTGTGCGGTGCTTGTTTTATTTTATTTTCTAAGAGAAATCGGATTGGTCCAATGTTGGCATTTTTTGTTTGCATAATTAAACCCCTGCAATTGAGGTGAATTTCCTGGCTGTCATGGTATACCGTTTTGTCCTCATAGAGTAAAAGATTGGATTCAAGAAACCTGTTTTCCAAAGGCTTGCTTTTCTTTCCTTTAGAGTACTAACTCCTAGCAATACTTTAAAAAGAAGTAAGCTTTAGGAAAACACCTTTCAGACAATGACTATGCTAAAGGATTGACCAACCTTGATGGTTGGTTGAAGTTCATCACAAACTCAGTCAAGAAAGAATATTCCTCTTCCCCGATGAAAACACGACCTCTGAATAAATCATTGTCTCATGCAGCATAATGTATTTATTGAAAAAGAATTAATGTCATAAATAATTCTTAAATTATAATAAAATATTCAATTTTAAAATTCTCTAACATGTTACTTAGAACCGTGATGGTTGATTGTAGGTTATCACGACTTCAGTCAAGAAATAATATTCCTCTTTCCCAATGAAAACACAGCCTCTGACTAAATCATTGTCTCATGCTGTATAATGTATTTATTAAAAAAGAATTAATGTTTTTAAATTACAGTAAAATATTTAATTTGATACCTAAACTTTAAAATTTTGTAATATGATGTCGGAATTATAAATCTGTTAATTAATATAATATTTGAAAAATTGTTTGTTCATCATATATCATTATTTAAAGTTAGTCATGTTAGAAATAAGTATCACAATAGTCAACATATTGATAGTTCAAAAACTACATTAGAAAATTTTAAAGTTTAAGTATCACATTGAACATTCGACTCTAGTTTAGGGACAATTCATGATATCAACTCATTAAAAAAAATCCAAAGACTATTTGTAAAAGGGCTGTCAGATCTTAGAATTGAAACACCTGTCAAACGGCTTGTAAAATGGAATTAAACTATTCTGAATTTCAACAATTATGGCTACAAAATCATGTTCCAACAGAAGCTTCAAATTCATGATATTTACCAAGAAAAGTAGAATTTATGCGACCCTGGGAATTGGAATACCGTCTGAAGGAGGTAATGTCACTGAGCGCAACAGTTCCAGTGAGAACACAAGCCCCAGAAAATGAGAAAGGATAGTGTTAGCTGATGCCTGCATGAGCAAGAGATTCATAAGAGCATGCAATAACCAAGGCTATTTCTCATTACAAGTTTGTCTTTGATCAATAAGTCTTATGTTGGCTGTTAGTTATGAGTCATGACATCTTTCAATTCAGTTGACTATGAATCAAGAACCCAGTAGAATAATTGCAACCTCATGAGCATAAGTGTTCCTCAGTTTGTGAAACCATGAATATCAATATCAGACTGAAAAAGCAAACTTTAAATTTATGTGTAGTAAACGTATAGAGACCTGCAAGCTCTAACTTTACATGCATTTATACCTCTATACGGAGAACCATGTTCTTTAAGGCATCTGCAATTGGTTGCTATAAATCTGACAGGCCTAGTCTATATCACTCTTTACATACAAAACTACATATACATTGCTTGCAGGTTCTTTTAGATATTGATTGTTAACTGAAAAACGGGAATTTCATATTTTTTAGGGGATGGGCTCCTCTTCCTTTCAATTCCCAATTTCTTTCTTCTCCTGTTAGAGGAAGAGGAAGAGGAAGAGGAAGAGGAAGAGGTGTGTAGGGGGTCGAACTAATGAAGTAACTAAAGTCCCAATTTCTCAAACATGAGTCTAATTCAGTTAAATATAAATGATATTCTATTAGAAGGCTCAAATTGGATTAAGTACCTGCACCAAAAATACATCCAATGCAAGAACTGGACTATAACCAGGAGAAATTCCTTGGTAATAAGGATTTGTGGAGGAAGTAAGAGCCTTGGCGACTAGTGAGCCGACTGTTGCTTGCATGCCAAGAATAGCAGCACCCATTCCCAGAAGATTCAGAACTATGCCATTTTTCAAGCTTTTCACAACATCAGCACGAGGAGGAGCCTGAAAGCCCAAGGGAAAAATTAGGATTTATTGGAAATTGAATAAATCAACAAGCATTAATCAAAAGCCCAAATAAGCCCTGAATTTGGGCATATATCTAACCATAATCTAATCTTCCAAACTCAAAAGCAGACCTACACATAATAAGCAGATTAATCTAGATCAAACTCAAATGAATCACTACAATTCGAATTGAAGGAAGAAAATGTGGTGACAGAAACCAGGAAATAAAACACTGAAATTCCAAATTTTAGCAGCTGTCTCTCATGGATACCAATGACTGTTGAGGAGAAGTGGTTAAACTATTTACTTTTCCAAGTGATTTGAACATTAGCAAAAATAATGCTCCTTTTGAGGCAAACCAACTCTGTCCTTTGTCTTCATGCCAATCCTTGTACAGCTTATTTCTCATATGAAGCATAAGAAATCCTTTGTTAACAGGATTAGACATTGTTCAATTATAAAATGAAGCACAAGAAACAGGAAAAGAAGTGAATTATTATAGCTTGTCTAAGTTGTCTAAGAAATGTCACCCTTTACTTCCAAGTAAGCTGATGAACTTCCTCTGTGCAGATTACACAAACTAGATTAAGAATAAACCAAAAACGAGAAGAAATGAATAAAGTTATCCAGCTTAATTATTTTGAGCGAGGGCCAATTTATTTACTTCAAATATGAAATGTTATGATAATTAAACATCTAGGTAACATAACACAATTTGTGCCTATTATATGAGAGTACTCTCAAGAAAAAACTTAACTGTCTAGAAAGTGATGACAAAGAATATTGGAACAATTGCTCCCCTTTAACTCCCAGTATTCTGTCCCTAAAATGATCACGTGTCTAAGGGAAATGCATAGCTGGATATATAACACATAATCAATCAGGTTCACGTACCACATTCATCCTAAAAAATAACGAATGGTAACATAAGAAGATTAAGAACAACACATAGATAAAATTCAGATATGTAAGTCTTTCTCCTAGGACTTAAATATAACAACAAACATATAAACTGTTAACACCCTCATAACTCAAACTACCTTTGAAGGATCATTAGCAGTTCTTTTGAGTTTCTCAGAAAGCCGAATATACCCAAACGACCAAAAAACTGATATGAATGCAGCCACAATTCCACCAGCAGTAGCATAAAAAGTAGCAGGTGATTTGATTTTCCCAGTAATAACAACAGAAAATGAGAGTATCACCGCTGATACCACAGTGCATACTAGCTGTGCCCAAAACCCAAAATTGCCCAATCGCTTAAAGTACCTCGACGTGCTTTCTAACCTCTTCGAAACCTGCACCATTTCATTTCAAAATCCTTATAACTCATCCCTAAAAACACCTTCATTTACAGTCCACTAAAACTAAAACCCCATTAAACAATCCAAATTAACCCATAACATTTCTATTAGTTCTAATGCCGTAGCTGTTATCTGTATTTTGATGTCACTGATTACATGAACAATGAGGTTAGAAGATAATATATCAGGCAAATTTGACCAAGTTAAACCAAAGAGCATAAACCCAATTCAATAAAGTTGAAACTTCACCACCAAATTAGTCAAACCCAATAAAAATTATTAGTTAAAAGGGTAAAATCTGAGATTAAGAAAACGAAAGTGAGGGGAGGAGTACCTGGGCGAGCTTTGCCTTGTCAGTATCATCATTAGGGGAGGCAAAACTCGGTGAAACTGAGGAAGAAGAGACCTTGCTTAAAAAAAGCTTAAATCTTTTAACATTGAGAGGATCGTAGGAAGCGAAGGGGGGAGATAGAGGCTTCGGTTTCAAAGTTTTGAGTGAAGTGGGAAACTTTGGACTAGAGAGAGTGATAGGTGGTCGGTGACGATGAGGGTGGAGGGGACCCACCGCCACCGCACAAATGCCGACTCGAGTTGCCGGCAGCAATTGCGTTTGCATGATGATTAGATGGTGCTTGGAGAGCGTCGGTTGGGAGGTGGGAGCGGGGCAGAGTTGGCTAAACTGATTTGTAGTTTCGCTTGTTTGTACTAGGTTGCTTGATATAGAATGGAAACTACTTGTTTTTCTCCTAGACGATGCAATTATTAACTCGGGTTAGCAAGCTGTTTCCATACTTTTTTTAAATTAACTTTTTTATGCATTTTAATAATTCGTTTATAAAATTAAAAAAATTAAATACAAAATGTTCATATATTATATATATTTTTATCTGAAATATTTTAATTTTTTATTATCATTTTAAATTTTGATTAATCTAAAAGTTGAATCGATTCAGATTTAGTAAAAAATAAACCTTTTCAAAATATTTTTTATTTCTAAAATTTAAAATTAAAATTTATTTAAAAATAATCAAGCTCTTTATTACTCAAAACAAACTTATATTTAAATTAATTAAAAAGAAGAGTTAATGCGTAAGATGAATTCGGTCAGCGAATGATGAAAAAGGAGCCACGGCAGGTTCAGTTGGACAAGGACTTTCACGGTACAAAATTATGAAGTCCCTGGTGCCCGTAGTAGATATATGCATGTGAATTCACCCACAAGATTTTGCTTAAAAGTTAATTCGAGGATTGTATCTCATTTTTAGAGAGTAAAATATCGGTACTTCTAGGCTGTATATTGGTTACATATATCATTGAACAAAAAAGATGCTAAACAGCCAGGAAAAGATTAGGACAGATTCTTGTCAAAATTGCTGGCGACAGTGCAACAACCTTAGAATTGGAGCAAATTGTTAACAAAATCAACAAATTTTAAACAACTTAAAATTTTCATGCCATTTGGGAAATGCAGCTAGCGATGGAATTGGGACTAATGTTGCTCAGTATGAGGACAGGTAAAATCTGCAAATGATTCACGGATCATCCCATGATGTTTGCCATGAAGGTTTAAACGTTGGGGAATTGGGGGAAACTTGTTCTATTCAGGCATCCATAGCCTTTACCTTTTCTGATTTCTGGATGCAGATGGAACACAAAACTTCATCAACCAAGACCACTTGAATTTTCTATAATGTTGGCTGAAGTTCAAAGTATTACCTAAGCAGACCAGTTTTTGATTTCTCTCTTTCCCTCTTCTTGGGGCCGAGGAAGTTTTGTTGTGTTGCATAAACTTCTTAGTTTCCAAACAGATGGAGAAAAGCACATTCAGAAACTAAGAAGGGGTAACTTTTATGCAGTGAGATTGATCATAACCCACTTTTTTCAAATGGGGGATTATTGTTCTTTATAATGAAATAAGATTAGTTGCAACCATTGTGAAAGGAAGAAGGTAGAGAATGAGGAGTAGATTGGCTGAGGAAGTTACAAAATTTCGAGTGTTAATAAGGTTAGTTTTAGAATGATTGGAAAGTAGACCAATTAGAGATGTTCATCACAGCAGACCTGAACCAGAATGCTAGCAATCCTCTTGATTTGATAAAATTTTTCTTGATTCAATGCCAAGAATCGCCCGTGGTAGATGTCGGCTAGTCCTTTTTTAACAGAAGACAACTTTCATGTGGAGAAAAAGTGATGGTCAAAATTTGATCTTTCCCTTTCCCCCTATTTCCCTTTTTTGCACTTTAGTCCCAATAATTTTAACTATTTCACATCCCTAAGCTCCTTAGTCCTTAGCCTTACCCCGTCTTCTTATTTAGTTTTTTGGAATTGTTGAAGTGGACCTTGGCTTCTTTCATGGAAGGTGTAGAATTATATGCATTGAACTAAACATTATCCCACAGTAAGAGTTGGAAACCAGCACAAAAATGGAGAGTCCAAGGGATCCTCTGCATCCTGATGGACCTCGACTCACTTGGCTGTCTCTTAGTACCAGATAGGAGATTCATCTCTCGGCCTTGTCTTCCCTAATTATAAGCAGCAAAAACTCAGTTTACTTAAAGTCGAGGCGGTAAAATGTCAGCCACTTTTATTATCTATACAATAATAAGCTAATTCCATTCATCATTATATCAACTCCACTTCCAGTAAGAACAGATTCTTTGTTTTTCTGCAAAAAAAAAAAAAAAGAAAAAGAAAAAAAAAACCAACTTTTCCTTCAATTTAGTGCCCATTACTATCAACTCTGCTGTTTAGTTGGGTTCCATTCATTGAATCAGTGGCATGCTTTTACTCTCTACCCATTTCTTATCTCTTTTTTAGCAGCTGCTCGACCTTTGATTCTAAAATCCTCATCATAGATTTGGTAAACAAAACAAGTCTAGCTGCAGTGCGTCACCATCTCTCTCTCCTTCTTTGCTTCCTTGGCTTAAGATGAATATGTAGCTTAGATGCAAAATCATCTCAAGAAGAAAGATCCTTGGGTTTGAACAGGAGCATTTCCAATGCTTCACCTTTCTTCTTCAATTTTTTCCTCTTCTAGTTCCTTGAATAGCTATCAGCACTTATTATTGGGCCTCAAGCAATAAACACAACAATGCAAAAATAATATATTACAATAAACCCATAATAATAGATAACAATCAATAATCAACAATGCAGAAAAAAAATAAAGCACACTAAAATTTATGTGAAAAACTCTCCAATGTAAAGGAAAAAATCATGGATTATCAGAAAAATCTCCACTATCAAATAATAGATATATAAAGTTCTTCTCTAGCTAAAACTAGAGCTAATCAACAACTAGAGAGACAATTGGAGAAATCTCACCAAATAAGTGACTCAATAAATATATCATGGATTTGTTCCTAGAAAGCTTCAAACCTGATCTTTACCGTTCAAAATGTAGAACTCTGAATCATAAACCTGCTGACAAAGTTTCAGCTCAATTGGACCATGGATCGACTTTCGTCTAACAAACTCTCTCTTTTTTTTTTTTCTACTTTTCCTAGCTTTTCTTCTTTCTCTTCTTGGTTTATGACACCACCTTAAAACAACCTCACATCTTTTTATTAAGTAGCTAGGGCTTGTGTAAAAAGAAAAACCATGGCCTATGACCTTTGATTTGTCCAAAATCAATTACATGGGGTTGGATCCCATTTTCCTAACAATCTCTCCTTCTAGCACCATTAGAAGGAGATTCAGCACCATAGCAGTTTCATTTGAAACTTACCTTGGCCAAAGAACTCATTTCGATCAAGTTACTGCATAGCTTAAGCTTTTCTCTGGGAAGTATCTTAGTTAATATATCTACTACATTCTTATCAGTATGAATTTTTTTTAATAGCATCTACTGTTTCTCAATCACTGAACGTAACCAACGATATCTAACATCAATGTGCTTTGTTTTAGCATGGTACACGGTATTCTTACTTAAATCTAAAATACTTTGATTATCACAAAATACCACATACTCTTTCTGATTTAACCTCAATTTAAGAAGAAAACGTTTCATCCAAAGTATTTCTTTACCTGCTTCGGTTGTTGTAATATATTCAACCTTTGTAATTGACAAAGCAACACACTTCTACAATTTAGACTATCAAGACACAGCTCCTCCTATAAAAGTGAACAAATACCCTGAAGTAGATTTTCTACCATCAATATCATCTACCATGCTAGCATCAATAAATCTTTCTAGAACTGGTTGTGAAACTATATAACTCAAGTACATTTTTTAGGTACTCCTCAAATATCTAAAAATTTATTTCACTGCTTCCTAGTGAACTTTTTTCGGATTAAAGAGAAATCAGCTCACTACACCAACTGCATGAGTAATGTCAGGTCGTGTACAAATCATAAGATACATTAAAGAGTCAACTGTAAAAGAATAAGAATACTATACATAGCTAGTTGCTCTTCTTTAGACACTAGATAAGATTTTTTACTCAAATAACAATAGTTGACAAGTAGACTACTAACTGATTTAGCATATTGAATATACTAAGCACTCGTTCAACATACTTTTCCTGTGATAATCACAACTTTTCAGCTCTCCTATCCTGGATAATGTCCATACCATGAATCTACTTTGTTAGACTTAAATCTTTCATGTCAAAAGACTTAGACAATTGTTCTTTCAACCTGCAAACCATACTAGTATCTTGTCCTACAATCAACATATCATCAACATATAATAAGAGAATGATGAAGTTACCATCAAAATTTTTTTTGACATACACACAAGGATCTGCTGCTGTTCTCTTATGCTATGACTCACCATAAAAGAATAAAACTTCTTGTACCACTATTACGGAGCTTGTTTCAAGCCATACAATTTTTTTTTAATTTGTAAACTAAGTGCTCTTTCCCTTTCACTTCAAAACTCTCAGGCTAATTCGTATAAATATCTTCCTTCAGGTCATTATGCAAGAATGCAATTTTAACATCAAGTCGCTTAAGCTCAAAATTCAAACTAACTGCTAATTCCAGTACCACTCGAATGAAACTCATTTTTACAACTGGAGCAAAGATCTCATCAAAATTATACTTTTTTTTAAGAAAAACCTTTTACCACCAAACGAGCTTTGTACCTCACTAGTTTGTCACCATCTTTTTTTAACTTGAACACCTATTTATTCTTCAATGGTCTCTTCTTTTTTGAAAGTTTAACAAGATTATAAGTATCATTTTTTCACAATGACTCAATCTTTTCTTTCATTATTTTTAACCGGTGCTTTATATCTGGAGTAGTCTGCACATCTTGAAAGTTCTCTGACTCCTCCTCACTAGTAACTAAAATAAAATCTAAATTTAGATACCTGGTAGATAGCCTACGCTCTCTAGTAGATCTTTTAGGCTAAGACTCTACATCACTTAATACCGAAGGTAGCTCCCTCTGCTTAACACTTTTAAGTAGATAGGATTACTTTTTTTGCTTAAAATTGATTGTATCTAGCTCATTACTAACTGTGGCTGGCTCATTCATATCTTCAAGTTCTGTTTTTTACTCATTTCTATCATTTATGGCTCTTTCTTGTGAAACCTTTGTCAATATTGAAACATCACACTCAACAGTAATCCATGTAGTCTTTTTATTTTTTTCAAAGTCTGTTATGGTTTCTTTTTCATGAAAGATCACATATCTGATTTTGACCCTCTTTCTCTTCACTGGATCTCATACCCTGTAGCCAAATTTCTTATCACCATATCTCATAAACACACACTATGTGATTTTACTGTCAAGCTTTGACTTTTACTTTTTTGGCACATGTATGAATGTTTTACACTCAAAAACTTTCAAATGACAGTATGAAGCATCTTTCTCTGTCTACACTCTTTCTAGAATGTCAAAGCTTAAAAAAACTGATGGAGATCTGTTAAGCAAATAACAAGCTGTGTTGATTGCTTTACCCCATAATAGCTTTGGTAATTTTATCATCTTCAACATATATATGACTTTTTTCATAATGGTGTGGTTCATCCTTTTGGCTACACCATTATGCTGCGGTGTTTCAGGTTTTGTCATCTCATACTTGATCCCATACTTTGAATAATACTCTTCAAAGTCTTTGAATGTGTATTCCTTACCATTATCAGTCCGAATACACTTAAAAGATAATTCTGTCATCCTTTTCACCATAGTATGAAATTTTTAAAAATACTGTAGTACCTGACTTTTGTATTTTAACATATACACCCAAGTCTTACGTGAAGCATCATTAATAAAAGTAACAAAATATCTGCTACCATCTAATGACTCAACTTCAATAGAATCACATACATCAAAATAAATCAATTCTAATTTATTTTCTTTTCTTTGAGAACTCTTATGAAAAGAAACTCTACGATGCTTATCAAACAAAAAATGATCACATGAATCGAGAGACATACTTTAGTCAAAGAAATGAAAAACTGTTTTGCCAAAACTTGTAACCCCTTCTCGCTCATGTGTGCCAGCTTCTTGTGCCATAAGTTTGCTGAAGCATTATTCTCAACAGCATTTACCTAATAGCCATTCAATTGCATCCATGTCTTATACATTATGCAGCATAATTTTTTCCTTACAATTACTATAGATCCTTTGAGAAGTTTTCATTGCTCATTCTTTTATCGACTCTTATATCCCTTTTTATCAAGGACATTAATAGCAAGTAAGTTCATTCTCATATTTGAAATGTGTTTGACATCCCTCAAAGTCAACAAGCAGTCTGTACTAGTTTATATAATAATATCATCAATCTAAATAATCTGTGACACACTTTTATTTTCTATCTTGGTACAATCAAAGTCTCTTACTTTGTAAGTTGTAAGCAACTCTCTCTTCAAAACACAATGATATGTCACTCCTATGTTAACTATCCACTTAATGCCAAGATCACCAACATGATTACAATCACCATGTGTATAAATCAAAGTAACTGAATCACTATCTGAATTGACTGCTACAACATTGCCATCATATGAACTCTTGCCTTTCTCATCTTTTCACTCTTGCTTTAAAATTTTATAGTGTCATTTTATATGACCTACCTTACCACAGTGAAAACACTTCATTTTATCTCTGGACTTGAATCAATGTTTAGACTTACTATGACCTTTTGAGTTCTAACCTCTATCGATGTTTCTACCTCCTAGCTTGATTCTCAAGGCTATATCTTTTTGCCTTACTTCTTCATCAAGCATACTGTCTTTTACCATCTCTAATGTCACATTGCAATCAGGAATTGAATTAAGAACAGTCACAACTAAAGTATTCCAACTGTCTGACAATGAACTCAAAAGAAATAATACCTTTATTTCATAATCCATCTTAAGCTCTATAGTAGTTATCCGATTAAATATATCTTAAAAATCACTTAAGTACTCTGTAATCGATCGTCCATCCGTATACTATAAAATTGTAAGCTTTTTAACAAGTATAACTTTATTCATACCTATTTTTTTCTCATACAATGTTGCCAATTTTTTTAAATAATGTGGGCATCTGTCTCTTACGCTACATGATGAAATACGTTGATATTAACCTATTTTCTGATTATAGCCAGCACATTTTTGCCTAACTTTTTTTAGCTTTTATCTTTCATATCTGTTGGTTTAGTCGAATCACCCAATACTAGTTTATACAAATCTTACCAGTATAAATGATCTTCCATCATAGGCTTTCAAATTGAATAATTTGATATTATCAATTTTATCATAAAACTTGTATCAACCTCCATGCTCTCAAATAAAATTTACTTCTGTTTTGAGCTACTTTTGTATCGTTGTCTTAAAAATAACCCTTACTCTGATACCATTTATTGGGCCTGAAGTAATATACATAACAATACAGAAGTAATATATTACAATAAACCCATAGTAATAGATAACAATCAATAATCAACAATGCAGGAAAAAATAAAGCACACTAAGATTTATGTGAAAAACCCTTCAGTGCAGAGGAAAAAATTACGGATCACGAAAAAAATCACTACTATCAAATAATAGATATACTAAGTTCTTCTCTAGCTAAAACTAAAGCTAATCAACAACTAGAGAGACAATTAGAGAAATCTCACTAAATAAGTGACTAAACAAATACACCCTAGATTTATTCCCAGAGAGCTTTAAACCCGATCTTCACCGTTTAAAATGTAGAACTTTGAATCATAAATCTACTGACAAAGTTTTAGCTCAATCGGATCATAGATAAACTTTCGTTCAACCAACTTTTTCTTCTCTTTTTTCTCTTTACTTTTCCTGGTTTTTCTTCTTTCTCTTCTTGGTTTGTGACACCACTTTAAAACAACCTCACCTATTTTTATTAAGTAGCTAGGGCTTTATGTAAAAAGAAAGACCAAAGTTCATGACCTTTGATTGGTCTAAAATCAATTACATGGGGCTAGACCCATTTTCCTAACACTTATAGGGTCATTTTACTTTTTTTCAAATATTCCATCCTCAGTGACCCATTATCAGTCTTGCGAAGCTGGAACTATGATGATGAAATGCCATGTGCACGGAATGGAGTGACCTGCACTAAAATTGGCATTCCAGGAGCACCAGACATGTTCAGGGTAACCAGCTTGGTCTTCCCAAACAACCATCTTCTTGGTTCATTTTTAGCAGACCTTGGCCACATGCAGCACCTTCGCCAATTGGATCTCTCAAGCAACATTTTTAATGGAACTTTGCCAAGCTCTATCTTTAACTCAACTGAGCTTCAGGTACTCTCTTCGTCTGGTAATGTAATTTCTGGTCGGTTGCCTGAGTCCATTAGTGGCATGATTAGTCTTCAGCTCCTGAATCTCTCCGACAATGCCTTGGCCAGGAAGGTACCTAAACATTTGACTCGTTTGCGGAACTTAACTATTGTTTCTTTAAGGGGTAACTATTTCTCAAGTAAATACCTAGCGGTTTCAATTCAGTTGAGGTATAGAATGTGTCCACAAATCTGCTTAACGGGTCTCTCCTGTCAGTAAATTCTTTATTAATTTTATAATCTGACGTTAAATGGATTTGGTTGCTTCTCATAATGTTTTCAATGGTGGTTGAACACTATACCCATTAGAATTGAAACTTTTTCATATGTGAGAATCAAACTCAACAACATTAGAATTGAAGAAAAAAATATTTCTCTTTTGTGTATAGATCAGAGGAACTAAATTGGATTGATTTGTGCTATGAACCGTTCCAAATACGTAATCTAGAATCCAAAACCCAAACGATAACTAATAGTTATTTAGATGAATGGTAAGATTAATTTCGATGAGATTAAAAATAATGATGAAAATAAAATTAATTATTATAGTAGTAAAATTAAAATTAAAAATGAGATATACATTTATATATAAAAATAAATATAATAGTGAGATAAATTATAATGAAAATAAAAAACGGTTGTTAAGAACATTGATTAAAAGTAGTATATAATAAAAATATTAAATTATTTAATATTTATCAAATTAATAAATAATTAAAAATTATTAAATTGTTTAAAAATCAAATAATAGTTTCAATAAATAATTCAAAAATATTTTTAATTTATTATATAATAAAATTAATTTATTATATAATAAATTTTAGTTTTATATTAAATTAATAAAAATACATTATAAGTTAAAAAAATAAAATGTTAAAAGCTAATAATAGTTAAATGAGAGAAATGAAAAGCGTAATTGCAATTGTGGCATAATGAAGCTTCAAAGTAAGGGTATAAATAATATATTAATACTTATAAATTATTTGAATTCGATTCAAATAAAATTTAAATTCAACTCGATTATTTTTAAATAAAATTTAGGTTCGATTATCTAAACTTATTGATCAAATTGAATTTGAACAATTTTATATTCGATTTAAATAACTCATAAACTTAATCAATTTTTATATTTTAATATATTTTAATTAATAAAATATCTTAAACTTAAGATTGGATTTAAGTATGATAATTAAACTTTTATCGAATATAAAAATTAAATTTATTTTTATATATTAATTAAATGAGTTCAAATTATTCGATTTTTATTTCAAATTAAATTTAAATTATAAAATAAATTTAATTAATTTCGAATCAAAATTTAAAAATTTAATTAAAATTAAAATTAAAATTAAATTATATTAATTTAAATTCGATCCATTTCATTTATACCTTCAACCTTCAATAAACAAATAGTAAAATTTAATTCGCATCACAAAATACGTTTGGATTTAAAAACCACTATGGACTCTACTTTTTGTAAAAATTGCACCCCCACCGGGTAGTGCGATGTATTCCAAACCTACGCTAAAACCTAAATTAAAAAAATAGTTTCCAAACAGGCCCCTTTTGGAAACTGCGCTGATATTACGCAAACGGCAAACTGCCGTCCAGTGCATCATCATTTTCCTTCAAAATTCAAGTGCCCAACTAAACCAAATCTTAAAAAATCCAAATTCCAGAAACCATGGAGACAGACATCCCTGTTCCAGAACAAGATCAATCCTCCCCAACTCCCAAACACATTTTCATCCTCTCAGGCCAAAGCAACATGGCTGGTCGAGGCGGCGTCTCCAAGCACCACCACTGGGACGGCGTCGTCCCACTAGACTGTCAGCCGCACCCTTCCATCCTCCGCCTCAGCTCCAAGCTCAAGTGGGAGCAGGCGCGAGAGCCGCTTCACTACGACATTGATACCCGCAAGATCTGCGGAGTGGGCCCCGGAATGTCGTTCGCCAATGCTGTGAGGGAGCAGCTGGGGAGCGACTGCGTGGGGCTGGTGCCGTGCGCCGTGGGTGGCACCGCCATCAAAGAATGGGCTCGTGGGCAACATTTGTATGAGAGTATGCTGAAGAGAACCAAAGAGAGCTTGAAGAGTAAAGGGGAGATCAAGGCTGTGCTTTGGTACCAAGGGGAGAGCGATACGTCGTCGCAGCACGATGCTGAAGCCTATAAGGGAAATATGGAGAGGTTGATTCATAATGTGCGTGAGGATCTGGGCTTGCCTTCGCTTCCAGTAATTCAGGTTCGCATTATTTATCAACTATGTATATCATTGAATCAAATGTTGGAATGAGTTACGAATTTTAATAATACTGCATAATTTGCAGGTTGCAATTGCATCGGGGGATGGGAGGTACATGGAGAAAGTGAGGGAAGCACAGATGGGGATCAACCTGCCAAATGTAGTATGTGTGGATGCCAAAGGGTTGACTCTCAAAGAGGATCACCTTCACTTAACAACTGAGGCCCAGGCTAAGTTGGGGCACATGTTGGCTGATGCTTTTCTTATCCATTGTAATGCTGCTCCATCACAATCATCTTCCCTTGCTTGACTCCAATCCAAGGGAGTGTGAAATCCAAAGTACCTAATCCCAAGGTTTCATTATCTTGTTGTTCCATTTGCTTCTTTGATGTTGAACTCGTAGTTTTCTATTTGCTCCACTGTGCCTCTGGATGTTTGCCATCATCTGCCTTTCCATCTAGCTAGGGATCTTGAAGATGAAGCATGAGAGCCCAAATTATGAATTTGAGAAATGTGAGTTAAATTCGAATTTTGCTATCTATTGAAGTCGACTCTCAGTTCTGATTGGATTTGTGATAATCATATAAGGAAGCGTAATGTGAACTCATAATCTTTTTACATGCTTTGGTTTGATGTCATCTAAGGAAGCTGGCTGTTCTTTCAATTTTCAATTGACAGAAGAGTATAATGACTTGTTAAAATCTTGAGATAGCAGATTTTTTTAATACAGAATTGAAATAAAAATTAATTTTATATTACAATAGTAGATTGTTTTTGATAAAATAATCAAATGTATTACTTAATTTCATTGTTACTTTATGTTTTTTATTTTAAAAATTAAAGTTAATACAAATTGAGATAATCTGTCATAAAAAAGTATTTTTAATTTTTTGTAATGAAATTACATGTAAATTAAAAATTACAACTAAATAATTTTTAATATGGAAAAAACAAAATTAATAAAACAAATCAAATTAATATCTAATAAACATTATATAATTAAATAAAATTTAAACATAAAACTTAAAAATCTAAAATCATGGAGACAAAACTTTTAATTAAATGGCATGGTAGAAAAAAAAACCAAAGATTTGACTGCTGTATGCGGAGCAGAAAGAATCAAAAACTTAAAAGATCTCTTTTTACATTAGGTTGTGGCATTTTTAGAGAGGCCAAGTAGATTTTATCAGGTTTTTCTTAACTTCGGTCTCACTTAGTGTTGTAAATTATACATTAATATTCGTAAATTATTTAGGTTCGATTCAAATAAAATTCGAATTCGATTCAATTATTTTTGAGTCGAGTTCGAGTTCGAAAAATTTGATTTATCGATCGAATCGAATTTTAATATTCTTATATTCCATTCGAATAATTCACAAGCTTAATCAAGTTTTTATATTTAAATTATTATTATTATTTTAATTAATAAAATATTTGAATTTGAATTTGAGTTCGAACATAAATAATCGAATTTTTATCAAATATAAGAATCGAGTTTATTTTAATATATTAATCGAACTATCGAACGAATTCAAATAGTTTAATTTTGATCACGAATTAAATTCAAATTAAAAAATTAAAATTCAATCGAATTCAAATCGAATCGAATTTAAAATTTAAATTTTTTTTTATATCGACTCGATTTCATAGCCGGATGATTGAATCTTATCAAGGATTCTGCCTTGCTTACTCTTGCTCCAGCATATTCCAGTTACCTTGCAAGTTTCACGCAACTACCACACACGCGACTTCAAAGAACGTGGTCAGTGCATCAATATTCTTCCACCAACCCTAAAACGCATTATCATACTTCTAAGTCCTGCTTGTTGACATGATCAAGTGAAGATTTGGATTTCATCATATTTTTAGAATGATATAATTAAATTTATTATATTATTAATTAAATTTAAAATTTAATTTTAATAAAATTTATTTATTATAAGTTTTTTAATTATAATTATAATAATAATTATTAATTTTAATTTTATTAAAATTAATCTCAATATTTATCTAAATAAACCCTAAATAATATGTTAAGCCAATATAATTTTACGTGTAAATGTTGAACCAAGCCAGCTTAATTTGGTTATCAAGGAATTGCCAAAGGTGGTTAGGATTTGGATTGGTGGGTTTGATTAATGATTACTCTAATTTATATATTATTTCATGAAAATTTTAAAATGTTTTCGATAAATGTGGAAGTGAATGCCTACCTGTTTTCACTTTTCACTAATATTTTCTAGGACTGCTTCAATTTCATTCTAGTAATAAATGATAATGATATAGATAAGTTACGGTAATTGACCTCAAAAGTAAAAAATGACATGATAAAAAAATTAAATAGAGTTAAAAAATATATAATAGGGAAAAGTGTTCAATATTGCATTAAATATACCATGTACGCCAAGCTATTTTTGGTAATGTTCATTGGGAAAGATAATTATAATCCCCCAGTCTCATCCACTTGGCGTAGTTACACGCTCCCACTTTCCCGCTCCACAGATAAGAGCATGCGCGTGCGCGTGCAACCCTTCTGACTCCCTTCGTTGTATCCAGCAAACCTACCAAAATATTAATTCCACACTGTCCCTCTTCTCTTCCCTAGCTTGCTGCATCTTCTGCAAGAAAACCTCGTCAATCTCACCTCTACGCATGTCGACCATGGCTTCTCTCAAAACCCCAACTCTAAAAAACCCATCCCTTTCCCTTACCTCTAAATCCCGCCTTCCTTCCGCTTTTTCCGCCACCTCTCTTAACAATCTTCGTTTTTCTCGCTCCCAACCGCAACGCCGCGTATTAATCATAACCGCTTCCGCTGCCTCTTTCTCCAACAAACCCACAGTACTCGTTGCCGAAAAACTTGGCGAAGCGGGTTTAACGCTGCTCAAGCAGTTCGCAAACGTGGACTGCTCTTATAACCTCTCTCCCGAAGAGCTCTGCACCAAGATCTCGCTTTGCGATGCCTTGATTGTGCGCAGCGGAACAAAAGTGAACCGCGAGGTGTTTGAATCTTCTGGTGGGAGATTGAAGGTAGTTGGGAGAGCTGGTGTTGGGATTGATAATGTGGATCTGGCTGCCGCCACCGAGCATGGTTGTTTGGTTGTCAATGCGCCTACTGCTAATACCGTTGCGGCAGCTGAGCACGGGATCGCGCTCTTGGCTGCTATGGCTAGAAACGTGGCTCAGGCTGATGCTTCCGTCAAGGCTGGTGAGAACTGATTTTTATTTTTTATTTTTTTGTAACTTTTTATATTCTTTGTGGATTGGTTAAATCTCAATTTTATTTTTAGATTTTCTTTTTGCTATGATTAAATATGGGAAATGTTTTCGGTGAATATATATGGATCTATAATTTGTGAGTAATTGGTTCCGTTGATTCAAGCCTGTGGGAATCACCAATGCATATTTTTATGATGTAGAGAAGTGGCAGCGGAACAAATATGTGGGTGTATCCCTTGTTGGAAAAACACTTGCTATCTTGGGTTTCGGAAAGGTTGGATCAGAAGTAGCTCGGCGAGCCAAGGGACTTGGCATGCATGTTATTGCTCATGATCCTTATGCCCCGGCTGATCGTGCTCGAGCTATAGGGGTAGAGCTAGTGAGCTTTGAGGAAGCCATTGCGACCGCAGATTTTATCTCTTTACACATGCCTCTCACCCCTGCTACTTCTAAGATGCTCAATGATGAGACATTTGCTAGGATGAAGAAAGGTGTTCGTATTGTCAATGTTGCTCGTGGGGGAGTGATTGATGAAGAGGCTCTTGTGAGGGCATTGGATGCTGGAATTGTAGCTCAGGCTGCTCTTGATGTTTTCACTGAGGAGCCACCACAACAGGACAGCAAGTTGGTGCAGCATGAGAGGGTTACTGTCACTCCACATCTTGGTGCTAGTACAATTGAGGCTCAGGTGAATTAATTGTTTGATGCCTATATCCATGTTTCATTTGTTTCCGAATGAGACTATCAAATGAAGCATTGGTATGTTTTTCAGGAAGGAGTGGCTATTGAAATAGCTGAAGCTGTTGTTGGAGCCTTGAAAGGGGAGCTTGCTGCAACTGCAGTCAATGCACCGATGGTTCCTGCAGAGGTACAATGACTTGTAGTTTTGCCATCTATTTTTCTTCATTTCTTTCCTGTTGATAACCTTTAGTTTCTCTTCTTTATGCACTAGTAATTCATGATTGTTGTTTCTCTCATCTGTTCTCCCGCAGGTTCTAACAGAGTTGAAACCATATGTTGAACTTGCTGAGAAACTTGGGAGGCTGGCTGTCCAATTGGTAGCTGGTGGAAGTGGTGTTCAAAATGTGAAAGTATCATATGCTTCCTCTAGAGCCCCTGACGACCTTGACACAAGGTTGCTCCGTGCGATGATCACCAAGGGCATAATTGAGCCCATTACCAGTGTTTTTGTGAACCTAGTTAATGCTGATTACACTGCTAAACAGAGAGGGCTGCGGATTACAGAGGAACGGATCCTTTTAGATGGTTTATCTGAGAATCCACTAGAGTCCATTCAAGTTCAGATTGCCAATGTCGAATCAAAATTTGCAAGCGCCATCTCAGAGACTGGTGAGATTAAGGTTGAAGGACGGGTGAAGGATGGAATTCCCCATTTGACTAAGGTGGGTTCGTTTGGAGTGGATGTGAGCTTAGAGGGTAGTATTATACTTTGCAGACAGGTTGATCAGCCTGGTATGATTGGTAAGGTAGGAAGTATTTTGGGCGAGGAGAATGTGAATGTGAACTTCATGAGTGTTGGGAGGATTGCTCCAAGGAAGCAAGCAGTGATGGCCATAGGAGTAGACGAGCAACCTAGTAAAGAATCTTTAAAGAGGATTGGTGATGTACCTGCCATTGAAGAGTTTGTTTTCCTTAAGTTGTAGGGTGGCTGCATAATTACCGCATCTTTTTTTCATTGGGTTGGGTTGGCATTTTACGACATTGTTATGCTCAGTTTTGAAAATTGTCAGAGTGCGTTCTGTCGTATCTTTAGGGCAAGGGGAAAGAAGGAATAATTGAACTTTGCAACGAGTGCCTTTATTATTGAGTTTAGTTTGATTCAGATTTGCATCCGATTTCATGGATGTGCTTTGCTTGGTAATTGTTAGACTTTATTCGCAACACCTCCTTTCGACCAGAACAGGTTAAGGTGAGAGGGCTGTTTAGCATTTCTGAATGTTACTTGCGCCAAAAGAAATCTTTTACTCAATAAAAGTGTTTTTTTTTTCTATTCTAAAAAGATATACTGCTAAAGCCTGTATTAATAAATGAGATATAGAATCATTTCCTATGTCAGAAATGAGCCATTAAAATACAGAAAGAATGAACCAATTTTGTTTTAGGGCTTTACCATCACTGAAACAGTTTAAGCTTTACAATCACTGTAAAAAACAGAAAAATATATGAAACAGTTTTAAGTAAAAGAACCACCACGAGAGGAAGGCATTCAAGGAAACTTAAAGAAGAATTTCTTGTACAATCTTAAACATATCCTTTTGTTGGCAAGGCAGATGAATTACTGTCAATGAACAAATTAAATTGCAGCTGTAAACATCTTCACGATGATAAATTCTAAGACCTCACCAGTGATCAACTTTTAGAGGCGGACTGGAAGATGAAAATAGCTGTCAAAACACCAACCAACGCTGTCACCGCCAAGGCTACCGTCGGCAACGGGGTTGTGAGGCCAAAATTCTGCAAGACCAAGGGAAACACGTTTTAACATGGTAGTTTGTCCTAACATACATATAGAAATGAGAAAACAAAGGCGCGTTGGATTATACCTCCAAAAGTCCCTTGCCGGTTGATATTTCAACAGTAATAGCCACTGCAAAGCCAACCATTGCAAGTCTGCCTAGCCATACATCCAAACTGTTGCCCTCCTTGGTGCTTTGCTCACATTTAATGGAAACTGGTGTTGCTTTACATGCGGGCTTCCTCTGGTTAGATGTTCTCCTTATCACTGCGGGCAAAAGCATGCACTATCTTTCACTCTACTAATTTCAGATTAAACATTGGGCTCCTTTAGTTGCAAGAACATGAATCCAAAGGAAGGAAGCTTTGAAAGTTTGGGTAACAAATGGAATAGAATCATATCTTCGTATAAAATTTCATCAACCAAAACCAAACAGTGCATAAAATGGTAAAAAGGAAAGATCAAAACACTAAATGTTTATACGAATCAATCTTGCCAGCCGAATTTGGGAATCTAGGCAAAGAAAATGACAAAGCAATAATGGAACCAGGAGGCATCTAAATATCAACAAAACAGCTAGACTATAATATTGAATCATAACTGAACAACCATAAGCAAAGAACAACAGAAAAAAATTAAAAGCAGTTTTTCTGCTAGTCCAAAAACTATTCCTTTCCAATGCATGTTTCGCAATTAAACCATAGTCTGCTGCTCCTAATAAATCACATTTCACACTGTCCTTTGCAATAGACGGATCAATGAAACACACCCATAAAACCCCACTTCCATTTACCAAGTACAATTGTTTCAAACAAATTCAAAGAGTGCCCAATATTTGCATTAAAAACCCAAGTTTTTGGTTTAACTATAGCATTTATCACGAAGGAAAAAGACAAAACCCACAGCATAGAAAAACAATATATTCATAAACTATGAAAAAATTCAGATTTGCCTACAGAGACGGCAACCAGTGGCAAAAGTGGAGCCGCTTCGTGAAAAACTCGATATGGGTAAACGAGAAATTGTATGGGTTCTTGGTGAGCTGATGAGACAGATATCTGCAACGTAATTTGTACTTCGTGAAAATTGCAATACAGACTTTTTAATAAGCAATGTCAATGGACAAGATTGAGAGACTACCGTGAATGGAAAAAGAGAGAGAAGCAGAGACTTGAGCTAAGGCCATGTTTGAATGAGTTTGACTGTTTGAGGGGAATTGGAGTGGCGCCACACCGCCTCTAATCCAATCTTTCTGGACACTGGTCATTGGAAGAGGACCAGACATATTTGTGAGATGGAAATTGACCACGTGTCGTGTCTAGATATCCTAAGAATCCTTTTCTTTTCTTTTTAAATTTTGCATGATTTAAAAAAAAACCTTTTAACCTTGGACTTTTTATGTATTATCGAAGGGCAGTCGACTGCTCTGGGAGGAACCTCAAGTGTTCAGCGATGTGCTATTTAAATGCGTCACACTGCAATTGTCCCCAAAAAGGATCCAATGCAATGGAATCTAAATGGAACCCAAACATAGAAAAAAAAAAGGATGGAATCCGACTTGAACAATTTATAAAACAAAATTCCAAAGGAAATAAAATGCGGGTTGGGCCTTTTTATTTAAGCATCTATATTCACAGATTATAGGGTTATTTTCAGCAGAGAAAGATAATTTAAAATATAATATAATAATATGATATAAATATAATATAAAAATAAAATATAAAAATAATATAATTTAAAATTTTAATAATATTATATATTTAATAAAATTAAAAAAATTTTTTTTCATATAAATATGAATTATGATACAAAATTTTTATATAAAATATAATATAAAAATATAAATTTTAATATTTTATACTATACAAATATAAAAATTATCAAATTTAATTTTCATCCGTAAATAATAAATTGAAGATATATATACAAGCAGCAATTAGATAATTCACCAAAATTTCTCCTATTTTCATTTAGTATTCTATATTGAAGAGTCTAAAGAGTTAGAACATTGGTATAAAAAAGAGAATGGTGAAGTACATTACACTTCAGGAAGGGGAAGAAAGGGTTAAAAATTTTCAACGAGGTCAAGATAGAAGAATTAAGAACAAACTTTGAGCAACTCAATGCAAACAAATTGAAAGCTGATGAAGGAAAGCCCAGCAATTATATCCATGGATTGAGGTCCGGATGAAGCCTTTGATGTTTTACTCTTTTTTTTCTTCCCACCATTTTTGGTTCTTTTCGTTGGTTTTTCATCTAAAACAGGCTGTGTGCTCTGTAAGCGTTGATGAATGGGAGCCAGTGGATCAGCTTGGAAAGCTGGATGCTTAAGAACTGCACTCAATTGTTTTCCCTCTTTCAATCTGATAAGAATTCATTCATTAAAATCAGGTATTTTATTGCAGGAGAAAATCGAACATTATAACAAGATAGAATCACAGAATCGAAGCACGCACATTTATCGTTGCCTAGATTTGCAATTGAGCTTGAAATCAGCTGCAGTAGTTGGTTGTTTGGGAGCTTTCAACTCAGGAAGAAACTCTGACAGGGCAGACAGATCATATGCTTTCAATTTCTTCCGTCGGCTTTGAAGCTTCTTCTTCTGGTAGGAGACAAGGGCTTCATTAGCAAACTCTTAACTCCAAAATAAGAGTGTACATCTTCATTCATTTTCTAACCCAAAATAGAAGAGAGCAATGCCAAAGGCATCACTGATGCCATTGCTTTAGTTAGGGGAAACATTTACTTCTATCCTCAAAATAATGTCAGTGGAAGAAATTTGACAAGATTTATTGCCACCAAGTCACCTCTCCCAAGCCCCTCTTCCTTCCCAACCCCACCACAAATCCACATTTCACAGCTGATCCAACAGAGCTCAGGTCGTACTCTATAAAGCATGTTAGAATTCCAAAGAATTCATCATCTTGCCTACGAAGAACAAAGCTCTTTTTTTTTTTTTTTTTTCTCATTTTTCTACTTCCGATCATCAAAACCAACCATTCCAATAGTAATGTTGCTACAATCATACTGTTATCTGAGTGTGGCAACATTCTAATTACAAATGCTATAAAAGTTTAAAATTGCATATCTAAGTTGCAAAGTTTAAAAAAGAAAAGAACCGTATCATATAAATTTATATATCCCAATAACATATAACATAATTGACATAAAATGCACAGATATGAGGCAAAAGTGAAAGGTAATTGCACCAAATGAATCCATCCATATTAGCTCAAAACAATTTTCCATAGCATGCTTTAGATATTATTATGCATTAAACACTGAGATTATAAAAAATTCATGCATTGAATCAAAGTCCCACAGAATAATACATTTAGATTTGCTTAGTAGCCTATAGTTCTAAGGGTAAACAAATTAAAAAAAAATGTTTGCCAGTAAGACTCTTGTCACCTTTGTTATGTCCTTCATGGCAGTCAAGGAGGCAACAGAATCTTTAACCTCTGCATATAGAAAACAAATGAAACTATTAGGTTTACATATAACATAAATTTGATTGAAAAATTAGATAAAAAAGAGTTTAAACTCACTGGCATAGAACTGGACTTTCTTTTCAAACTTTTATCGGATTTAGAAGAAGAATCTGGTCTGCCAAAAAAGAAGAGGAAAATTGCAATATTGCAGAAACCCCAAGTTTAAAAGATTAATCAGGGAAGATAATATAAAAAGAAATACAAAAAACACAAGAAAAAATATTCACCGTGAGCTTGGTTTCCCCATGTTTGAAAAAGTTAATTCTTAGAATGGAGGAACCAAAGTTAAGGTTTTAGCGTTTGATTATTGAACTACAAAGAAGATAGCTGGAAGAGAAAGAGCCAACTCAAAGTCTAAAACCCAGCACCAGGAGCCTCAGCCTGCAACGGGATTATCTTTTTTACCTTCTTGGGCCTTTTTGCAATCCAAGGAAAATTTGTATTCTACCGTCTATAGGCCTTTAATCTGCACGGAATTTTTTGAGCCGAATGTGATGGCTTCAATCTTCAAATTCTGCTTTGATTTTTCTTTTTCCCTTGATTTCCATCAGGAAAATGCCCAGAACAATGTACGTACATAGAATAGTAGACAAATGCAGACGAAATCTTTTTGGGAAGACATACAAATGCAAAAAAAAAAAAAAAAAAAAAAAAACAAAGGTTGAATTGAATCGAACAAACCATGCGGAGATTGTGGCATGTGCTTTGTTTTGTCATCCCAACAGCAAATCATTGCTTCAGTTTTTGTAAGGAAATTGCCTTTACCAAACCCATTGTTTTTTTGTCCTGCAATATATATTCCTCTCACCAGATATTAAAAATAAATTTGTTTGCCATGATCTATCACCAGATATTGTCCATTCTCCATCAATACTTAAAAATTTCATAGAAAAAAAAAAGCTTTTAAATTTTAAAAAAGCACTGATATATTTTAAAAATAGGTTTATGTTTAATTTAAATCTAAATTATATTACTTTTCACAATTGGATATCTATAAATGAAAATTTCATAATTAGATTTTCAAATTTTATTTTCGTAAAACATTTTATCCCACGTACATGTTTTAGCAAGAAACATGTTTTACGTACAAATCGTAGGCTAATGGTAAGAGACTCAACGGGATTGACATGTTTAGGCTTCAAGAAGAAGAAAAATACCAGACAATTAGTCAAGCAATTTCATTTTTTCAATTGGCAAGTGAATATCATACCAGTCAACTGTACTCTGTTGCTGCTCTTGCTGTCAAGACCCTAAGCTGAGCTGGTGTTTATTGAGCACATGTTGAATGAATTATCCAAACTACTCCTTAATATCTTCGATCCTACACTGGGCCAATCACCATAAACATAGAAATGAAATGCTTCTATAAATTAAATGAATTACCCATGAAAGTGCAAGAAGATTGATAATCCATGCTCAAGGAGCTGCTCTGCTCTACGGTTGACAGGCATGAACTACTGAGCTACTCTTGATAGGATGGTTTATAGTATGGTATCATCAAATAAAATCTGTTGGGGGATGGAAGTGGCTGCAGATTAAATATCCCAACGAATAATGTTGATTTCATCTAAGATAAAAATGCTGATATAACAGTCATGTGACAAATTTTCCTAATCTTAGGTAAGGAATGCATTGTCTTTCTTTTTCAAATTCCTACCTTTCGCCCTAGCTTAGAGACTGATTAATTAGATAACCAGTACTTTTTTTTTTTAATTTTTTATCAGTATACTTGTATTGGTCATGCTTTTGCTCCCTACACATTAACATCATAATGCTGAACACATCTTTGAAAGATGTGGGTTTGAGAGGGTTTAAAATTTAAGCACATAATGACTTCTTTAGATGAATTAAATAGATAGAAACACGAAATAAAAGTAAATTAAAAATTTTAAAATAAATAAGAATACCTTCTAATTTAAATAATTGAACAACATCAATTGAATGAAAAACTTTTAATCAGGATAAGGTTATGATAATTTGTATAAAAGTACACCGTAGAGGTAACCAAAGGCAGTTTTTCCCTTTTTTTTTTCTTGACTTGGTTGATAATCAGATCAAAGAAAAGCTGATTTGCTAAGGAATTACGTTTTTTTTTCTTAAATTATACTCATAATCAAATATTAAACCATATAATTAATTAAATAATCAATTATTACATTATAATCGAATTATAATTCCAAAATAATCAATTAATAAATTATGACAATTAAATAATCAAACTCACAAAAACAGCAAGACTTAAACCTTAAAATTTCAGAATTCTAGGACCTCTTCTTTAGCACTAAGCCAAAACTTCATTGGCCGAAATCATGCTTAAAACAACAGAGGAAACTACAACTACAAGAATACATTGGTTGTAAAGGTTAGTCTACCGATTATTAGGTTAAACATAGATGACCATTAGAACAAGAAAAGTGCCCCCCGGTAAAACTTCCTCACATACAACCTCTATCTATATTTTGGTTTATTGTGCTCTAACCCTTGAGATATTTTAAATTATTTTCTTACCTTAGATCAGCTGTTCGGGTGAAAGCTTGATGCTTCTGTTAGTAATGTAATTCTGTGTTTTTTTTTTTTTCTCATTTTGGTTTGACTTTGTAATGTTGAAAATATATAGGTGAAGTAAAGCAGCATTTGCTGGAAGTGTCCTCTCCCCTTCGCGGTTAAGTGATGCCATATTTATAGCCAAAGCAACAAAATCGAAATTAATATAATTGAGCTGACTTGCCGACTTATTTTTTTGGCCTTTTGGTTGACTTGCTGAAGAAGCATGAAAAAGGTTCACTTAACGAAAAATGGCGATCCGAAATATTAGGCACTTTGGACTTCATTAATTCTCCAAATGAAAGTCTATAAAAGGGGTGATCATTGGCAATGACAATTTCATAAAATGACAATCCATTGAAGTTTCAACCATTTAGGAATAAATTCAAGATTGGTTCAGCTTGATGATGGCCTCAATGGCTCAACCAAAAATGCACCTTTTGCCGATTCTCCTCTTTGTTTTGCTTGCTATAGCTGGGGCAACTCCACCAGGAATTGCCAACAACCTGAGCCGTGCAAGATGCATGATCAAGAAATACCAAGTACTGCTATAACCTAGAGCATGTATGCCCAAAGTTTTGCCCTGATGGGGAATGCACAGTTGATTGTGTTTCTTGCAAACCTATATGTGCCGACGGCACCTCAGGTCCTCCATCAGTTTCTATTTCTCCTCCGGACGATGGTGACAACGCTTCCGCTCCTACTAAGGCACCATCAGTTCCTGACTCTCCTCCAGGCGATGATAACAACACTCCCGCTCCTACTGCAGCACCACCGGCTACTTACCCTCCTCCATCTTCTTCAACTCCACCGACTACTTACACCCCTCCACCATCTCTTCCAACAGAACCACAGAATACTCCTCCATCTCCAGCATCTCCTCCTACAAAATATCAGAATCCTCCTCCATCCCCACCATCTTCGCCCCCTCAGTCACATAATCCTCCTCCATCTCCAACATCTCCACCCACAAAATCAGAGAACCCTCCTCCACCTCCAACTCCCACATATCCTCCCACTCAGTCACAGAGTCCTCCTTCATATATCTCACCTAAGACTGTCAAATGCAAGAACAAAAACTACCCTCAATGTTTTAACATGAAGCATGCATGCCCCAGCTCTTGTCCCGGTGGATGTGAGGTTGATTGCGTCACTTGCAAGCCTGTTTGCGGTAAGTTTTAAATGCACCTCATCATAATTGCAGAGAAAACATACATACCCACTCATATATGATCAATCCGTACTAATATATCTATAATAACCATTTCCTTAAACTACATAAATGTAATGCTCTTTAGGGCATTGCTTATTTTTTCAGTATTTGTTTGAAACCGTGAAAGTATTGTAATGGATTTATAGAAATTTTTGTTTGTGCGTCATCACTATTATTTTCAATGTATATCTTGACAATTGTTCTAACTCCTATGTTTTGCTTATGGCAGAGTGTGATAGGCCAGGAGCAGTGTGCCAGGACCCTCGATTCATAGGTGGCGACGGCACCACCTTCTACTTCCATGGCAAGAAAGACCAAGACTTTTGCCTTGTTTCTGACTCCAACTTACACATTAATGGCCACTTCATTGGCAAGCGAAATGAAAACATGAAGAGAGACTTCACTTGGGTGCAATCCATTGTCATCCTTTTTGACAAGCACCAACTCTTCCTTGGTGCCCTGAAAACCTTGACATGGGATGACTCAATCGACCGCCTCAGCCTCACCTTTGATGGAGAACCTGTTATTCTCCCAGAAACCGAAGGCGCCAAGTGGCAATCTCCAAATGTTCCGATTGTCTCTATCACCAGAGCTGGTGACGCTAACAACATTATTGTTGAAGTTGAAGGGAACTTCAAGATCACAGCCAAGGTGGTTCCAATCACTGAAGAAGATTCCAGGATTCACAACTATGGCATAACAAAAGAAGACTGTTTTGCTCATCTTGATCTTGGATTCAAATTCTACTCTTTGAGTGATGAAGTGAATGGCGTGTTGGGACAAACTTATAAGCCTGGCTACGTGAGTCACCTAAACATTGGTGCAAAAATGCCGGTAATGGGAGGGTACAGAGATTTTCACGCTTCAAGCCTGTTTGCCCCAGACTGTGCTGTTGCTCGGTTCACTGGAATCAATGAACATGATTCTTTGAATAGTTGGGAGATGCCAGGATTAAGCTGTGGCAGTGGAATTGACGGGCGAGGAGTTGTTTGCAAGAGATAGACTAATGGTTGGCAATTAGTATTATAAATTGAATTGAATAATTAGTAAATAAGAAAAAAATGTAAACATGCTCAAAGGGAAAACACAACGCCAATACCCTATTACTACTGCATTTCTTACTGCTATTTTTATTACTATTGACGTTGAATTTAATAAAAAAACAGAAGATTTAATTCTCTGCTGGTCAAGATTTTTTTATACATAATATAGTATTTCTAGATGTAGAAATGTTAGTAGTGTCCAACGTCGTATTAATTTGAAAATATGTATTTTTGTTATAAAAAAAGATTTTATTTTAAGAAAAAGAGAAGAAATTATATATATTAAATTTTAAATTTTAAATTGTATAGATCAATTAAATTAAATTATAAGTTCCAAATATATAAATCTAGTTTTTGTTTTACTTTTATTTTTTTTACTTTTTACAATTTATTTTTTGTTTATATTTTTTTCATATTTTATTTAAAAATTAAAAAAAAACAACAAAAAAAAACTTAATTTGCAGTGAGTTTAAGTACTGCACTAGTATTAGAGAAATATTTAGATCAAATTTTTTAGATGAAATTCATAAATTTTTTTTAAAGAATGATTAAATTAAAATTAAAAATTAAATTTGATCTCATTACATAGATTAAGTATGTAAATTATGAAAAAAATTTAATAAATTTATATATATATTTTTAGATAATATTTTTAATAAAATTGTTATTAAGTATCATCAAATTTTTATCGTTAAATAAGTATCATTAAATTTGAATTATAAATAATATTATAAATAATTTTTTATATATTATTAATTTTTATATTAAATTTTTTATTAAATTATTTTTTAAAAAATTTTCACAAATTTCTACTAAATAATTTTATGTAAGTTTTGTCCCTAGATGTTAGCTAAACAAGATACGACGCCGCTTCGTTCTCCAATGAATAAGCCAATAATAAGCCGACACTGCAAACAAGCAAAAGCCCCCCTATTGGGTTTTATGCGCTCCCATCAGTTGCCCTTCACTTCGACAAAGCTTGTCTTTCTCTCATCCATTTTAGGGTTCTGAGGTGCAGAGACAAAAACCCATCCAATCAAAAAGAAGAAAGATAAAAATAATCGAAAAATGGAAGGAGTTTCCTACCAGCGATTCCCCAAGGTCAAAATTCGCGAACTGAAGGACGACTACGCGAAATTCGAGCTTCGCGACACTGACGCCTCCATGGCCAACGCCCTCCGCCGCGTCATGATTGCCGAGGTCCCCACCATAGCAATCGACCTCGTCGAAATCGAGGTCAACTCCTCCGTCCTTAATGACGAGTTCATCGCCCATCGCCTTGGGCTCATCCCTCTCACCAGCGAACGCGCCATGTCTATGCGTTTCTCGCGTGACTGTGACGCTTGCGACGGTGACGGCCAGTGCGAGTTCTGCTCCGTCGAGTTCCATCTTCGTGCCAAATGCATGAACGATCAAACCCTCGATGTTACCAGCAAGGATCTGTATAGTTCCGATCATACGGTTGTTCCCGTCGATTTCACCGACTCCGCTGGCTACGATTCCTCTGAGCAAAGGTATTTAAGGTTTTTGGGGGTAAAATTGTAAATTACTCCTTATTTATATTGCATTACCCTTTTAAGGTTAGAGACTTGTAGAAAATAACTGTTTATTTTCAGGGGGATTATCATTGTGAAGTTGCGGCGGGGGCAAGAATTGAGGCTGAGGGCTATTGCGAGGAAAGGGATAGGGAAAGATCATGCGAAATGGTCACCTGCTGCGACTGTGACTTTCATGTATGAAGCTGAGATTCATATCAATGAAGATTTGATGGAAACCTTGACACTTGAGGAGAAGCAAAGCTTTGTCGAGAGTAGTCCTACTAGAGTCTTTGACATTGATCCTAATACTCAACAGGTTCTCTTTTTCTTTTTTCACAATTACATTAATTCTAATAAACTGAGATTTGCTCTGTATGGCTATCAAACTAGGTTCTAAACTGTTAAAGAAATTGTTGGTTTTGATTAATTTCATCTTTTGAATAGGATATTAGAATTACTAACTACATCATCTACTTCCTTTCTAAGTTACAAGTTTGAATGAGTTGAACAAATATATATGTGTTTTAGCAGTGTGATATCTTGGATATGTTTCTTACAAATGTTCCTATGATGTATCTTTAATTTTGTGCATCATGAGGATATTGATGGAAGTTGAGCTTCAGTTCTGGAATGGGGTTTCTATCTTTGTAGTAGGGCTGCTATTCCCACGCTGTTCTTATCTCATAGGCTAACAAAGTGAGCTGTCAAACTACATTATATGTAGCCTTTTGTTTAATTGCCCTCCTGCACTGCTACAATGATGTTGAAGATCAGGATTTTCTTGTTTTTATTAGAATTATTGGATTATACAATCTCGTATTTAGTAATTATTATGCCTGTTACGTTGTTGAAGTATTTAGGAAATAGTTTGCACGTTAGAGGCTTATTTTATTGTCATATTTTCTGTTGATGGCCACTCTGACTTGATTGAGTGTCGAATGCTTCATGTTTTTTGAATAACATTGTTTGAGTCCCTGTATTGGAAGCCATTATTCTATTTCACTGCTGCTGTTGCTAACTATGAATTTTTTGAAGACAGGTTGTGGTGGTTGATCCAGAGGCATATACCTATGATGATGAAGTGATCAAGAAAGCTGAAGCTATGGGCAAGCCAGGGCTTGTGGAGATATATGCCAAAGAAGACAGTTTCATCTTTACTGTTGAATCCACTGGTGCAATTAAAGCTTCTCAGTTGGTACTTAATGCTATAGAAATCCTCAAACAGAAGCTGGATGCAGTTCGCCTGTCTGAGGATACTGTGGAAGCTGATGATCAGTTTGGTGAACTAGGTGCCCATATGCGAGGAGGATGATCCGCTTGTAACAAAGAATTGACTATTTGTTTTTCTTCGTGAAACTTGTCATCACATGTGCCATCTATTTTTTAAACTTAAAAGCCTGTGAAGTATGGACTGACAAATTATTTAGCGTGTGCTTTTACTTTGTTCAAACTATCAGCCTATTTATGTTTCTGCATTTTAGGGTTCACCTCTTTCCGTTCAGCAGTTATTCTGTAAGCTAAATAGCTACAGAATGGCCATTTTCCTTGGCAGAAAAAATGAAGGAGGTCTTGGCTCTTTCGAGTTGTGAAGATTTTCCGGTTGTAATGATGGGCCAGCTTCTTTTGATATTTATTTGGTTTAATTTTCCTTTCAAGGACCCCTGGACCCAGGTGCTTTGCAGGAGCTGGGCTACGGAAATATACACCCCGCAAACCAACGGGGTCAAGCCCCAGTATCAGACAAGGATGGGCCTTAATGGTGTACAAACCATTTGGCATTCGATTTTCAGATGGGAGCCCAAAATTCGGGAATACAGTGTTTTCTTTTATCATTTGGGAATACATAATCGTGATATGTGCTGAACAGTTCGTATATTAATCTTAGTAATATATTCTTCCTGTCCAGAGCACTTTAAGCGGGTCCAGACAGGAGACCAATGGATTTTTATATGATTGACTTCCCTGCAAATTTGTAAAATCATTAAGTCACGAGAATTGACATGCATGATTAAATTGTCATGGAGCAGGCACCGGTCCAGGCTCAGAAAAAGTCTAGGCCCGTAGCCAAATGGTGTGGTGGAAATGAGAATGCTGAACACCCGTGACATCCGAGGGGAAGCTCTGACGATTTTTCCATCAAGTACACTACCGATAGACACCATGCCAATCACCAGGCATTGTACCGCTTCAATAACTCGAATTTTATTTTTCAACAAATTTATCTCATTAGTAGTACATCGTTTAATCCACCACTTATTTGTATTGAAAAAAAAAAAAACAATTTCATAAAACAACACTGGATTTTTGGTTTTTTTGTAGAAAAGCAGTGGCTCAATGGAACTCAAACCCAAGATTTTTACAACTCAAAGAATGCATGGCCTTGTTTCTGCCAAAATCAGTAATTTCTATCAGTTTCTTTAACATTCAAATACTATGTTTCTCTGATTAATTCTTCATGCATTTTGGTTCATGCGTGTAGTGTACTTTCAATGAACTGTGAAAGACAGTCACGGGTTCGACTTCAATTTAGTAAAAAAAAAAGGTGGTCCAAAGTTCTTGCCATCATGGAAACCAGGCATGGCCAAAGCCACCATCTCACTGCCTACCAGATATGTAGCTAGTTTTATATCAAACAAAACGAGAAATGTGATGTCTCCATCATCTCCAACTCCATCGCTACCTCTTTGGGTGCTTTTCTCATCAGTTGGCGTAATTCATTTTGTGTTTAAGCCTCTTCCTTATTGTGCCTTCTTCTGGAGATATTGGGAGGATCAAATTCTGTCTGTGAGCTTTTATAACCATGGCTGAAATTTAAAAATCTATTTTGTAGTGTTGTGGTCAGTTGGGATTTTGACATTCTAACTAATTGAGTATAGTAGCAATGAACTGCTTATAGATTGTGAGAGTGACAAACATGATGTTGCTGCAAATTTATTACAATAAGTGACGGCAAAGGAGACATGCATGAGTGAAAACATATCCTGTAAATTTAACTCAAGGAAAATAGAGGTCACTACATTTCTTACCATGAGCTAAGGGAAGTTCATTCAGCAGCTCTTTATTGCAGTTTTCTTACCATCCATATGTAACCAAAAGAAGCACAGTTACTGGCATCTCTATAATCCAGAATTGTTAATCACGAAGGGCCTATTTTATGCTTTAATGTCATTTTAATAAATGAGTAGGGACTCCCCTTGCTTTTTGCCATCAGAATTTTCATAATCGTTGTACCGTACAAAATTATCTTGCCAAGAATAATTGCTTAAAAGCTTTTGAGTAGAACGGTTGGGCAATAGAATTTCATGGCTTGGAGATTTCCTTGTCTTTTTATGGTTAAGTTTTTGTGGGAAAATGATCTGATCCATACTGTCATCGAAATCCACGTTCATGGTTCACTAAAAAGCATATCTACTAAAAGAGAAGGAGTAGGTCAAATAACATGAACATAGTTATAAAACCTTATTGTACGAGACTCTGTTTGAAATTTTGTAGCCTTCTTTGAAATTTTAGCTGATTGTGGTTGGTTCACCTTAGCCTGCCAAAAGATACTCAAATCTTTGTCTGAGAAGCAGACATACTTGCAGGGGGGACAGCCAAGTTTCACAGGTTTTGGTACATGGCTGACCCTGGAAGCATCAAAAACTCCAATTGTCCTTTTCTCTGACCATGGAAAGGGACTCTTGAGCCAACTCTACATGGCATAGCAATAAATTTTACCGCTTTAAGAAGTAGGGAAAAGGGTGAAATAAGAGAGCCATCGGCACTTTGAGTTTACCCTTCCAAGGACCACCCATCCCTTCGGCCATAACCATGTTCTTTATCATTATTTCTACATTGAATGCTTCTTGTCTCCATCACCACTTCTCAGCTATATTAAAATTTAAGTATCTGTACAATATCCATACTATTTGAGCTAGTGCTGCGCAATTAACTTGAGATATCTCTTTCTAAATATGAAAAACAAATGTTAAAATATTAAAAAAAATCTTTAAATTATTTCATATTTTAAATAAGTGTTTATATTTTTATTGAATTAAAATAATTTTTTTTAATTTATATTCAAATAAATCTTTATTTTAAATAAAAAATTGATTTATGTTAAAAGCTTCTTTAAATATTATTTAAAATTTAAAAATTATTTGAATACAAATTAAATTTTAAAAATTTATTTAAATATAAATTAAAAATTAAAAATGTATTTGAATGTAATAAAATATAAAAATTTGTCGAAGTAGAGTGGTAAAGTTTAGGGTTTTTTTTATTACATTAGTCCAAAACAAAAAATATATTAAGTGTAGTCTTGGACCTCATTGAAGATATTATTCAATAAGGTGGCCTTTTGGGGATTTTTTAGGTCAAGGTTTAATGGAGTTCCATTATTCTTGGGGACATGGCAGTAGTAAGCTAGGTAACAAACCAAGTGGTCATGAACAAGTTGGATCAGTTCATTTAGTATGTTAGATAGGCTTGTTTATTAATCAAACAAGTCAATCTCACCGATGAGCTGTTGCTGAGCTTTTATGAGTGATACAATGTCCTATTGCTCAGGCAGGCCTCAGTGTTTTTGGACCGTATAATAAATCAGGTTTTAAAAAGTTTTAATCTTAAGAGCAGGCAATCCTTGTTTCAACAGTATTCATTTGTTCATAACAACGACGCTATCTATAAGAAACCGTGCTGCTTCTCAAGAAACACAAAATCGAATACTTTTGATTAGAGGATAAGTGTTGAAGAAAAAATAATTCCGTATCTAATAATTAGAGATTGAATTGTAATTTTATAAATAAGGATCACTGTTCTCCATCTATCACAGCACCGCTTTTTAAAGATAAAATTGTGAATTCAAATTTAGAGCTCTTAAAAGGGATATTATCTCGTAATAAATATAATCAAATCATCAACGTTTGTTAATTAGAGTGATAAGAAATTTGAATTTTTTTAAGTAAAGTTTCAATCTCGAGTTTTATAAATAAAAAAAATAAATTTAAAAAAATTTATCTTTTTTATAAGATTTGACTCGATTTGACTTTAAATTAGTCAAAATTTAAAATGAATACCAAATCTCGATAAATTTAAGACAAAAAAAATATATAGTCCATCCATCTTTATATCATCAAAATTAATCCGTTATATTCAAACAACTCATATAAGGTAGGTAGATGCCTAATCTGTCACATATACAAGTAATTCATAATTTCGAATCATTGAAACATTCATTATTAAAGTGGTGCCAATGTGGTAAAAAAGGACTTGGATAGTTGGATTAAAATTTTTCAATGTATCAATGTGGTAACATAGGACCAATGTTTCTAACAAAATTTTTTTTACCTCTTTCTTTTCTTTTATTCCAAAAGTTTTACCTGAATAGAGTTAGATGACTTGTATGACATGTTCCCACAATAAAGAAGCAAATTGTACAAATTCAAGATAAGGTTATTTTACATAGGCTTGGGCGACATTGTTTATGATTTTGGCATTTCATGGAGATACCACTGCCAAAACATTGGATGCCGATTGGGTAGTATCGACATTAACTATATAACAGAAGCGATGTAGCAAGAAGGACTTGGCACAATTATTTGGTTCACGTAAATGATGTGCAATGCAAGGCCAGTCGACAGTGTCTTGGGGCCTCAATTTCTGATTGCTTTGGGGGCCATGGCAACAACTGCTGCTGCATTTGCCCTCGAAGGACTCCCCCTCTGGTCCCAGCACCATATATATTAACACTATCATATCCAAATACTTTTTAGGAAACATTCGACTCGTGGATTCTTAGATTTTGAAAGTGAAAATGATTTAGAAGAAAATTGATATTGAAAATAAATTTGTGATTCTTAAATTTTGTTAATTTAAGGAATGTAAAATTTTTGTATTTAGTTCATAAAATTGTAAGATTACTTAATAAAATTTTTTATTATATTATCTTTTAATAGTACGTAACTTTTATAATATTGATATGTGAATAACACGTAGTTTGTGAATAATATGTTATTATTGTTAAAACTAAATAATTTTGAAAAATATTTTTTTTATTTTCAACAAATATAATCTTATAAATTTAATTATTATCCTAATATCGATTGTCTCTATACAGAAAAAACATGGGAATCGACTTTTGTGATAAGGTTGATGTGGGTGTTGGATACCATCTCTTTCGAGGGCTTTCAGAACAAATTTTATATGTAATAATATTAAATAAATATATTTTAAATTTTATCTGTAAATTATTAAGTAAAAATATTTTGTTTTTTTTTTCATATTTTAAATAAAAACTACGTTTTTTATATTAGAAAAGTAATTTTTTTCAAAAAAAAATTATGTTTTATCTTATAAACATTGTTTTTATTAAATTCTAAAAAATATTTTTTTATTTTTAAACAAAGACTATGTTTTTATCTTAGAAACATTATCTTTTAAACAAAAAATGTGTTTTTATTTTAAAAATATCATCTTTATTAAATTTTGAAAATATTTTCTACATGTTTTTAACAAAAAAAATGTGTTTTTATCTTAAAAATGTGATATTTTTAACAAAAATTACGTTTTCTATCTTAAAAACATTATTTTAGTTGAATTCTGAATTTTTTTTTATTTTCAATAAAAACTGCATTTTGTCTTAGAAATATCATCTTTTTAACAAAGAGTGTGTTTTTTTATATCGAAAACATCATTTTTGTTGAATTTTAAAAAATATTTTTTTTATGTTTACAACAAATGTATTTTTATCTTAGAAATATCATTTTTTAAACAAAAACTGCATTTTTTATTTTAAAAATATTGTATTTGTTAATTTTTGAAAAATAATTTTTTCATATTTTTAATAAAGACCAAGTCATTTATCTTAGAAACGTTGTTTTTGTTAAATTATGAAATATAAATTTTTTTTCTTCTTTTTTACAAAGATAGTGTTTTTAATCATAATTTTTGTAAAGGTTTCAATAATATTGT